CATCACTAAACTCTTAATTTCAGAAATTTGTTGAATTCAAATTCCACCATCTGGATTCCACCATGGCAGGATTCGAACTCAGGTCCCCAGAACATTATCTGGGACTCGGGATTAACAGCCCAGTGATAATACCACTGGACCATTGCCTCCCCTTTTTTTGTATCACAGTCCTGACGAGTGTGAGACAAACAGCTTTGATTTTTGTCTCTTTTTAACCATGTTTAAGTCCTGTACAGCATGCAATTGTTAATACATAGTTGTACTGAATGTTTCAGCTCACAAATTAGTCATGCCTCAAGCTAAGCCGTTCTGGTACAGTTGCAACCATGATATCTTGCCAAAAAAAAATGGAAAATTGTTCAGCTATGATCTATACACCAAAGGCAGGGCAAATCCGATTGAACCAGCTACTATCCCATCAACCCACTTGCAATCACATTCATAATCAGCAACAAAATGATGTAAGGTTTTATTGAAGATGTTATAACATGGCACTTATTCAGCAAGAACTGGGTCACTGATGTTCATTTTGGGTTCTGCCAGGACCACTCTGCTCCAGACTATTTTACTGCTTTGGTCCAGAACTGAAGTGAGAGTGATTGACTGTGACATCAAGGCAACTTAACTGACCAACCATATGAATGCTATGCCTACAAAAGCAGGTTAGAAGCCAATTATTTTGTGGTGAGTAATTCACCTCCTGACTCCCAATGTCTGTCCACTGTTCACCAAACACAAATTGGGAGGGTGATGGAACATTCTCCACCTGCCTGGTTGATTTCCACCCTGACAATACTGAAGAAGCTCACTACCATCTAGAGGTGAGCAATTCATTTGATTGGCACATGTCAGCAATGTCTGACATCCACACAATTCATTGTAGAAACTTGCCATCACAATACAAAGGCAGATTTCTTTTATTTAGAACAATAAAGGCCAGCAGAAGAATGGGAACATCACCAAGTTCCTCTATAAGACAAAACACAGTTAGGCGCTAAGCCAAAATACAGTTTTTAACCTTATTGAAACATGTAAGTTTCTTAGGGGGCTTGACAGGGTAGATGTGGAGGGGTTGTTTTCCCAATTGGGACAGTTTATGATCACAGGGCATAAAGTTAGAATAAGGTGTTGCTCGTTTAGGATGGAGATGAGGAGGATTTTTTTTCTCTCAGATTCTGTGGAATTCTTTACCACATAGTGCTGTCAAGGCTGGGATATTCAAGGCTGAGATAGACAGATTTTTAATCAGTAAGAGAATCAGTATTGGGAAAAGGTAGGAAAGTGGAGTTGAGGATTATCACATCAGCTATGATCTATATTGAATGCCAGAGCAGACTTAATGGCCTGAATGCTTCTAGATCGTATAGTCTCATGGTCTTAAGAGTCACAATCCTGATCTTAAAATATATTGCCAATTATTTACTAAACTCAGGTAAAATCCTGAGACCTCCTCCATAACAGCCCTGTGGAAAAACATTTCAGCACAAACTGGAGTGTTAATGCCTTCTTGAGGGTAAACATAGATGGTCAGTAAATACTGACCTTACCAGTGTTACCCTATCCCATGAATAATTGGAAAAAGGTTGGTACAGTGTATAGCAGGATGACATATCATTTTTCTATTTATCAACTTATTTATATCAGGGAGGGATGCTGGAGAACAATCGGCATTTTAATGGAATGCCTTTGACAATGTGCATGAGAAGTCAAAATTAGGTACAGTTTTGAGATGAGGTATGGTTAAAGGCTGAGTTGTTAATTCAGTTTAGGTGTGCAGATATAATTCATTTTAAAAGCTGCAATGCACCAAAATAGGAGAGATATAACTAGAGTGTGATAATGTTGTGTAGGGCATTTCCATTTTAGGTGGTTGTGAAATGTTTAATGCAGAAGGTTGACGGGTGCTGTGTGTAGGTGTGGGGTTTTTTTCATACAGTACAGACAGATTTGTACTTCACACTTCCACAGGCAGAAGGGATATAATTGCAGTGTGATACATTTGTGATGGGACCTGCTTATACAAATGCACATTGTAATTTATAAAGGAAATAATTGGCAGGAAATGCGCCAAAACCTAAGATTTTAATGTACAATAGATATAATTCTATGATGCTCTCTGCTGTTAATGTTCAAAATTTTGGACTAAATGTTATCATATGTTTACTCTGATTTGCAGTTCTTTCTGTTTTAATCTAAGAACATTTACTCAGGACAAGAACTAAACATGCAGTGGTCAAAAGCCTCAGTATTATGACTATAAATAATGTATTTCTGATTTTGCACATATTGCATGGTGAAATTATTCCTAAGGAACATAGTTCAATCAATGACAACTGTCAGTGTTGCTACCATTATACCCTGAATCTGTCCAAAACGTCAGTGCCTAGTGCAAACACAGATAAACATGGATCATTAAGTTATGGCCTGTCACTCATCCACAGGCTGCACTGTGGCATTGTCCCCATCCAAGATATAGCCACAAACAAAATCTATTGACTTGGAAAATGCTTCCTTGCTCCTATCCTCACGTCAATGGTGTAAATGTGAAAAATTAAGATTCATTCAGTGAGGTTTAGTTGAATTTTTGACTACCACTGAACAGCAGAACTGGTCCTGAAAACTACATGAAAAGTTATCAATAATAATTAATTTCAATTGTAACAGTATCAGCCGGTAAGAATAACCACCACTCAGTCCTTGGGGAGATCAATCTCATCTTCTCATTGAGGATACCTCCATCATGTTGTGTGGTACTATCACCATGCTAAATGGGATAGAATTCAAAGAGATCATGCAAATCCATCCGTTAGATGCTGTCAGCCATCACCAAAGCAGCAGAATTATACGGCAAAATTTTGCAACTTTGTGATCCAAAATATACCCTACTCTGCTCTTATTATTAAACCAGAGGATCAACCTGGTTCAACAAAGATTGCAGGAAGGCATGCCAGGAGCTGCACCAGGCATATCTAAAAATGATGTGTCAACCTAGTGAAGCTACAATACAGAACTCTTTTTGAGCTAAATAGCATAAACAGCAAGTGATAGACAGGGCTAAGTGACTCCACAATATGCTTTACTCACTGGCGTTTAGCAGAATGAGAGGTGGTGTCATTGAAGCACGTAGGATCCTTAAGGGGCTTGACAGGATAAACGCTGAGAGGATGTTTCATCTCATGGTAGGCTATAGCAAAACAGGGCACAATCTCAGAATAAAGGGGTGCCAATGTAAAACTGAGATAAGGAGGAATTTCTTCTCTCAAAGGCTTGTGAGTCTTTGGAACTCCTTACCACAGAGAGCTGTGGGTGCAGAGTCTTTGTATTTATTTAAGGCTGAGATAGATAGATTCTTGATCCAGGGTTCAAGGATGATGGGGAAAATACAGGAAAGTGGATATGAGGAATGTCAGATCAGTCATGATTCTCTTGAATGGTGGAGCAGGCTTGAGTTGTCAAATAGCCTATGCCTGTTCTTATTTCTCATGGTTTTGTGGTCTTATGGCACTGTAGTTGTAACTACAGCAAATGGACAGCAGTGAATCGAGAAGGCAGCTCACCACCATCTTCTCAAGGGCAGTCAGGACTGGGCAATAAATGCTGGCCCAGCCAATGATGCCTATACCCCATGAATGAACAATCAAAATATCTAATACATAAAATTTGGTTTCATATTCTACTTTCAGTTTCACGTGTGTGCACATCGCTATCTTTACACCACTCATTGTAAAACTTGTAATAAATGATTTGTTTGTCAGTGCTTTTTATTTCCTTGTAAGTTGTCAGTGAGAATACTTTAGTGTGATTGGTTGCTTGGAATACCTAATGATTTCATTGAGGATTGATCATTAGGACTTCCAATTAAACTAAATTTAACTGGACAGGAAGAGAGAGATAAATCTATCCCCACACAAATTATGGAAACATTCAGTGCATCTTTCATCGATGTCAATGTTGCAAGCATCTTTGCTTTGCCACTGACTATAAAATTTTATCAATTATACTGTGATGAAATGGAATATATTCTTTGAAACAATGTACATTATGTAAATGATACAATTTGCTAGAATCAAATGATGATTGCATAGCTTGATTTCTGCAGTCTCCCGTTTCTGTTAAATTCCTGTGCTGGAATGTTCCCGTGGTGTCTGATCAAGCGGCCACCATAATTTCCATGGAATATTGGTAGAAACTCCAGGTACATGCTACAATGGCTTTAACACTGAACCTTCAGGAGAACCCACAAGGGAATTCCTAGTGTGGTTCTCCATTTCTTTGGATTATCTCAAGCAAAGCAAATAAATGAGAATACTTTCAAATGTATAATTCCATGTCCAATTTGGATAGTTCTAAAATACGTGTATCACATGATAGATTCAATTGATGAGATTACCATCATTAATTCATTTTCTGTAGTTATGCATGGAATTCTTGTTATTTTGTATATACTAAATCACTGTCATTTGGCAATTATCTTACAGTTATTTGTACAATTTCACTTTTGCTAAGGCTGCAATCAGTGGGCTCCTTCTTCTCTAGGCAGCATCCTGGATTGTTTAAGTGCTGCTGAATCATCAGCATATGCAGTGAATTTATATGAGGACAGGGTGAGGAGGCAGACCCCAAGTCTAGCTCAGTCAGAACAGGGATTGAATCCCATGCTATTACTGTTATTCTGAATTATACATCAGCCATCTCACCAACTGAGCTAGCTGGTCCCCAATCCCTGTGCTGTAATCCTTAAAACTAAATATTTCTGTATTTCTTGCATTACATATGGTTTACTTTTATCACAATGAGGAAGAAAAGCATGAACAGTTTCTCTCAGTTTGTACTGTGATTTGAAGTGCACTTTGCACTTTGCTGTGGCAATGTCGAGCAGTAATTTACTGATATCTAATACTGTTTTAATAGATCTGTCACGTACAAAGTGGAAAAAAAAGAGTTCCAGTTCGAAAAATAACATTAATATTGTGTGTTTTCTTATCATTATTGCCATCCAGAATCTCCTTTCTTAATTCGTCCAAGTGGTGGATTTTCCAGGACTGATCTCATGGTAGATCGGTTTAATGTGACAATATTTGACCTTGGAGGAGAGGAGAAAATCCGAAGTACTTGGAAGAATTATTATCCTGAAGCCCATGGTTTTATTTTCGTTGTTGACTCTACGGACATGAAGCGGATGGGGGAAGCTGGAAATGTTCTGTCTGAAGTACTAAGCGATCAAAAGATGTCTGGGAAGCCTGTCCTTGTGTAAGTTCTGAAAACTATAGAAGAATGAATTTGATAGTAAATGTAATTTGATATTTAAAAGAGGGCAAGATTGATAATGAGTTGAAGAAAATGTTCTGTTGGTTTGTTTATATTTGAGTTAGCTAAGTAAAGGTATTAAATTGCAAATCCATTGCATCATTTCCTTGTGACAGCATTAAAATGTAAATAGAGGGCAGTTTTTCTGACCTATTTTCTCCTCCATCTCTCTACCAGCTTGTGGCTCATGTTAACTAGCCTCACCAGCTCTTCCTTTGGCTCCCTATCAACATAACCTCCTTACTATTGCACACTCCTCCCAAGTCTCCTTGCTCATCAGCCCATGCTAATTGGTACAGTTTTTTTTATTCTCTGGTGTTGATTCTACCTCTTTCAGAATGTCTAATACCAATCCCTACCATGAAAAATCCCTTGGGGCAGAGTTTTACAGTCCTCAACCAATGGCTCTGCTGCAGGGCTCACAAGAAACTCCCTAAGTGAATTTCCCACCACACCTCCTACCTGCCCCTGACCTGTCCGCAATTTTCCAGGAGGTTAGCAATGCTTGGGGGCAGTTCATCCATGTTCTCCTCCATTTAGTACCTTAGGTAGTCAAGTATTGACCATTTGACTGAGGGGTGTTTTATTTTCTTGGGGCTGGCAGGTTGCGTTCAGAGGCATTGGGGAAGCTCAGCTGGGCATCCTGCTCATTCCCAGGCAGGAAAGGAGAATGCATCACTCAGGGACTCCCCTCCAGGAATTACAATCTGATGCAATCCCAGTGCTGGCCACTTGTGCTGCTGCAGCCACTGAGTTTCCAGTCAATCAGATTGGCCGGCAGCTCTCTGAGGTGGAGCTTCCACTTGAGTGAGGGGTGGAAGTGCAGACCCCAGCCTATTAATGCTGCTGCAGCCTGCTTGCCATAGTACTTCCAGTGTTCCCATGCTTCTAGAGTGTTGGAATGTGTTATCTAGGAACAATACCCTCAACTTTCTGAATTCTCCCTATTCAAGACCCCTCAATTCAGCTCACACAATGTCAGCACCATTGAGAATAGAATGAACAAAGCCACCAATTCAATTCAATAAAGATACTATTTTTCTTTCGTGGCCGTAACTTCCTGTTTTTCTTTATACTCTTTGACCTTTTGGATGTCTTCAATATCGTAGATCATTCCATGCTTCTGTAACATTTTTGCTCTGTATGTATCATATAACCTGATTTTGCCAATCCCTGTATTGTCAATAACATCATCATTTTTAGTATTCTAGTATCAGTAGTTATAGTATTTTCACAGTATTTCCAGTGGCTTCTCTGCACGATCACCCTCATAGAATTCTATTTGTGGTCCCTCCCTCTTCCTCATTTCCATGCTAAACTTTGGTAACATTAATAAAAAAACATCCAATCCTACCTCTGTCTCCTCCATTACCCAAAGAGTTAATGTATCCTTAGCAGCTTTTCTGACAGTGTGCCTGGATGACCCAAATTTACCTCATTCTGTTTGAGTTCTCTTCACATACATTCTATCAACCTTCCCAATTACATCACAAATTGATGTGAAATCCTGGCATCATGCTCAACTATAAGCTAAGATTCCTCTACCCTGCTCTTCTTCAACACTATCTGTCGTTCTTCACTGTTGCTGAAACCCCATTTCAGGTGATCAGTGTCTGTCAGGTATTCCTTGCTGGCCTCCCTGCTTCCATCAGGTACAAATTGCAACTATTCAAAATGTGAAAATCTGAGTCTTCATTAGCATAAAATCCTATACTGTCCCTATCTTTTACAAACTCTACTGGCTTTCTGTAGCCCAGCACAGTGACTGCACCTTCTTTGTCCTTACATTCAAATCACTCTGTGGACTTGTCTCACTCTGCTTCACTGATCTTTTTCTGTCTATACTATAACACGTGCACCCTTCACATCTCCCATATTTGGGTTACTCTGCTGTAGCATTAGTATTTGCTTCTAACACTTGACAACTCCCTCTCTGATCTATCCTGCCAGTTCTGAGGAAGGGTCACCGGACCCAAAACGTTAACTCTGATTTTTTTCTTTACAGATGCTGCCAGACCTACTGAGCTTTTACAGCAACTTCTGTTTTTGTTGTTGTCAATTCTGTCCTTGTCCTCAAAAATTTTTTGAAATCCTTCATTTCAACAGTTCTATATCCCTTCCCTTACTAGCTGTTGCATACTTACTCACATTTTCTTTCTGCTTTGCATCATTAGATGCCTAATATGCCACTATATATGTGGAGAACATTATAGAAAATTAAGTATTCTAGTTGTTGAAATCTAGTTAAAAGGAAGTGTACAGAATAATACTAACGACGTATTCAAAGTTACAAATTTTCCCTGTTCAATTTTGGTATAGGGTTAAAGACTAAGCTGAGATAGAGAATAATGCAGATTGAGGTATACTTTCAACTGGTCACTGATTCTAACAGAATAGCAATTTGGACCAACAATCTTCCAACAAATTGGATAGTCCACCATCATTCAATAGTTGGAGTTAGAACTGCTGATAGCCCTGATATTGTCAAAAACATTATACCCTATTGCCAATTGATCTTTTGTACTGTGAGTGTGCAGGTTAAGCAGCTTCTTATCTGCATGTACTCAAGCTTATCTCGTAGTAGGAGTTGGAATATATCAGCTGTCTTTATTACGGATTTATGTATGTAAGTTTCAATATTTTGTGTTTCATCATTTACTTTTTATTTAGCTTAGCGAACAAGCAGGATAAAACTGAGGCACTACCAGAGTTCGATATTATTGAGCAGCTATCCTTGGGGAAACTGGCTAATGAAAATAAATCCATCTGCCATATTGTAAGTTTCATAGAATTTCTGTGTTGCTTTAATGCTATACACACTACTATCCATTTGGACCACTTATATGTCTTCTTCAAAAAGGTCAGAGCACATTTTAATTTGTACCTCCCATCGGATACATGTAAAAGTCCAAATTCTGAGGCTAAATTCTTCAGCAAGAGTGAGGGATCAACTTTTAACTGTAGAGATTGAAATCTACCATCTACCATTATCTTGCTGTTATAGATTCGTCTGGTCCAAGACTGGCTTATGCTTCTCTTCTCCAATTGTTCAGTCACTCCACTTTATTCCCATGCATTACTTAAAGGTTTGTTTAGAGACACATCACTTTGTTGAACAAGACATTTTAGAGAATCACTGAAGCATCACTATTCTATATGTGTGTGAGGGAGAGAGGGACTGTGTGTGTGTGTGTGTGTGTGTGTGTGTGTGTGCATGTGTATGTGCGTGTGAGAGTGTATAGTGTGGTGGGGTCACCTGTAAGTGCAACATGAACACAAGATCCCGGTTGAGACCGTCCTCATGGGTGCTGAACTTGGCTATCAGCCTCTGTTCGGCGACTCTGTGTGTTGTGTATCCCAAAGTCCGCCTTGGAGGATGTTTACCCAAAGATCCAAGGCCGAATGTCCTTGACCAATGAAGTGTTCGCTCACTGGGAGGGAACATCCCTGTATGGCGATTGTTGCTTGGTGTCCATTCATCCGTTGTCATAGCGTCTGCATGGTTTTGCCAATTTACCATGCCCCGGGGCATCCTTGCTGCTGCGTATGAGATAGACAACATTGGCCGAGTCACACGAGTATCTGCCGTGCACTTGGTGGTGGTGTTCCCACGTGTGATGGTGGTGTCCACATCATTTGTCCAATTGGACATACACTACAGTTCAATAGTGAATCTTATTGCAGTTGTCCTTGCTAACAATGTTATTTTCTCTAACTGTATTCACCATTTGGCTGAATTCATGGAATTCTCATGCATGTTTCATATACAGGCTAATTTTTACTTATCCTTTTGTCAAAATTTGATTACTAACCACTGAAATGTAATACACCTGGTGTTGTGAGATGTTGAGAAATCTTGGTCTTCTGTTGTGATCCAAACTCTCTTCTCTGGTACAACAACCTGGCATGGCTTTGAAATCTGCAGTCCTAAATTTTCTAGCTTGTCTAAGCATGACATTTTGATTATGCCATAAGAAGCTGAGAGTTCATTTTGGCAATTTCATTGAGGTATTTTGTAAATTAGTTTTCCAACTGCAGCTATGTGATACGTTTTGTCTGTTTGCATTTATTCTTCTTCAGCATTGGCCTAAGTTGTTAGAGAGCTTTCTCCAATCTCTAGCATTCTTCTCCCATATCTTAAATTCCCTAGCTGCTGCACAATTATTTGTTTGCTCTGCAGTCTCATTACTGGCCTTTGCATTTGCTGCTCTTTCTTGGTACCATGTGGCCACATTAGAAGGCAAGGAATGCGGTGCACACTAGCAAGATGGTAGCCTTGACAGTAAATATTGACTTGTGTAAGCACAAGGAGCCACTTTCAGAGGCATGCTATCTTATGATTCTAAGAATTAATAGACTTACACCAGGTGAGTTTGACTACAGCAGCAAGCAGGTGGTAAGTAGAAAGACATTCCATATTTAGTTAAAATCAGCAGCTTCTTTTACATAAGCTCAACCCTTACTCAAATTTATACAGCATTTATTTTTACAACAGTATTATGTCCAATGATGCAGAGAATGCTGTTACCCAGAACTCTGCAAAGTTGTGGTGTACTTGGTGATTTTTTTAACACAGGATAGTTGTCCAAGATTGTTAAGCCACAATTTTGTTGTGAATGCATCTGGACCTATTCCTGACGCAACATGGGAAAAGAGATGAGGATTCTTACAAGTTGCAATGGAATTGTCATAGCATCCCCTGAGGAGGGGAGCAAGGAATTGGAATACTTGAAGCTGCAATGGGACTGCCATTAATCTTGCACTATTTTCATTTTCTATTATCAGCAGGGAGTTTAGGTTGAGGAACTGCCGATACATGGGACTTAGGGCTTTTGGCCTGTCTGTCTCTGATTGGAAATTTGGAGTGGGACTAGCAGTAAACAGAAGAAACCCCCACTTTTCTCATTGGCACTGAGCAAGTGCTGGCTTTCTTGAGCTGCTTTTGGGGGCCATTTTTGTTGCTGTTTCGTTCCCTGTCTCCAGGTTCTGCACCATTCAAAGTGCTATCCTAAACACGGAACACATCAGAACTATACAAATGACAAAAACCCACCAATCCAGGTGGGTTTCAATCTGATCAAGTACAGGGTACAGCAAAAGTTCAGCTGTATAATGCTGTTGTTATCTTTTGTTAGGGACTAGATTGGATAATTAGCAAAACTAGTAGAATATCGTTTTAGATTTTTACATACATGCTAACTGTTTCAACAGATAACCACTTCATATTGTTCACAACAATTTCATTCAATTTAAAATTACAAATTGCATTTTCATTGTCTTCATTGCCTAAGGTGTGGTAACAACTGAATACCCATTCAAGAATGATTATTGCTAACCATTTATCAAATTAACTAAAGTATCTCATCATTCTCTGTTCTCTATACACCATAGGAAACTGGGAATGCAACAAGTAATAACATTACTGATAACAAATAACTTGAAGATGACTTTTAACTTCATAAGTTGATCTTAAAATTGCATCTCTTTCAATGTCAACATAATAAATCTTCAATATTAAAATGATGTTCCTGCTGTTTTGACACAGTTAGTACTGTACAACTTCAATCATCAAGGCAGAAAATAAATTCATTGTGAATAGCATGAAATAAATTATTTACAGTGTACTTTACATTTCTGCATTAACATGATTTATTTGCTATACAACTTCCAGGATAACTCAGAATTTTCTTACTTTCTTTCCTTGTAAATCTATTTATTCAGCTCCTCGTTAGATTTGGTTCACAATCTTCTTATTACAGCCACATGGCAGATGGAGAGAATTTAGTATTAATCTAGACTTAAGCCAAGTTTCAAATGTACAAGTGGCATCTATGCTTGAAGGCATGAGGCTATGAACCAGGACATCTTGTGGGGTTTTCATATGTTATAGCACCTGGGAACCCTGACAGTGGAATATCACGAAAGGCTATTCTTGTTCATTACTGGCTTCAGTGAGGCATTGTAAGGATCTGAGGAAATTTCTTTTATTATTCACTCATGAGATATGGGCATCGCTGCCTGGTCAGCATCAATTGTCCATCCCTAGTTGCTTTTGAGAAAGTGGTGGTGAGCTGAATTCTTGAACCATTGCAGTATATGTATTGTATGTTGATACACAATGTCCCGAGGGAAGGAATTCTATCCAATATAACAATGATGTAAAGAGGTGAGGTAATGTAAGGCATAACTTAAAACTAAATAGATAGAGAATAGGATTTTTTTAGCAGGCAAAAGCTCCAATTTAACTGTCAGGGAATCAAGAGCAGAAGGTGATCTCACCGAAATCCCCAAAAAACCTGGGAACAATCAATCACTGGGCAATGAATGAGAGGAATTTCGTCCTAATAATAGTGAATTTGTGAGGAGCTGTTCCTTCAGCCATAAGCTGGTTCTCTTTGTGCATTTGGTCCTGGTAGGACAGAAAGAACAAGTGTCTAGAGGAAAGCAAATGGTAGCAATGAGGGAAATGATGGAAAACCTGGAGAAGTCCTTGCTAGTCTGGGTCTTTTACCCAGGTCTGGCATATTTGCTAGGGGACTGGAGCTTCTGCAGGGGCAGAACTTTCTCTGGGGATTGGGGCTTAGGCCAGGGACTGAGACCATAGGCTAAGTGCCACCTGCTAGGTCTAAGGTAGGAGTTGTAGAGTAGGGAGAACGGCATCTGCCAGGACTAGGCAACAGCTTCGGGATGGAAAGAAGGTATAGGGTTAAGCAAGATGTTGGCGGGAGAAGAAGGTTACAAGAGAGGGGCACAGGAGGAGGAAGGGGGGAAAATGAGGCTGAAGCGGAGGGGTAGGATTGGATTTGGGGAGGGGAGAAGACTGCAATAGAGAGCTGTGGGAAGGATGGAAGCTACAATCAAGAATGGGTGAGGAGGCAGCTAGTGGAGAGGAGGGGCGAGTAGGAAAATGCAACAAGGATGGGTGGAAGGAAGCTGCGAGTACAGTGAGGAGAAAGAGATGTTGCAAAGGGAGTCAGGATAAGGGAGGGGGAGGCTAATAATCATCCTGGTCGGATACTCCAAACTTTCCTCAGCCTTATTTTCAAGCCACCTTCACCTTTATTGTGAATTTGGACAATTACATCTTTTGGAAATTGCTGTTTGGGATGGTTATTCTTCTGAATAATTTTGTATACTTCTGTCAACTTTGTGTGTATGTGATGGAAATGCATTAGCTGTGACCTCACCAGTCTGCAGAAGGCATGTTGAGGGTGATGACCCTTTGTATGTGGAAATGTGTGCCAGATATTTTGAAAAAAGAAAGTCAGCTGTTTAATGCAAATTTAAATACTGAAGCATTTAGGAAATTAATGCCTTTCATGTGTGTTGTAGAATTAGACTTAATGGATGGGTGACAATAGTGTGGATAAGGAAAAATTCTTTGAATTCATCTTCTGGGTGAGTCCAAATAGTCCATATAGCAACACACCTACAAGAAGTGTTAATACCATAGACTGCATGACCCCAGCCATTGAACAAAGTGGGCATTTGTAAGAAAGTTGGGAGAATCATGTGAGATTGGCAGTTAGCAGATTCCTGATGTTGAGAGCAAAAAGTTCCATTTTCCAACAAAATGTTGAATGTTGAGGCAATATTTGCAATAACGAGTAGTGAGAAGCCTACTTGTATGTATTAGGATGTTATCATCAGTCACATCTCATTGATATGCAGTTTCCCGTTATCCCACCCTTCAGATAGAAACTGGACAGCAACAATCCTGACATGAAAGTCAGAATGGTAACCTGGTGACTTCAGTTCACTTCTTGCTCCTCTGGGCCTCCATCTTGGACTCTAGACTCTAAAATCTTCAGGCATGCTCTATTGGTAGCAACCATATACCCTTTGTCTGCCAGACCTCCAAATTCCTGTCAGCAAATTGGGGTGCCAATTTCCCTCTGTCTGACATATCTGGGAAATTTGATTCTGTGAAGGCCAGCTCCAGGCTGACAATGTTTGACCAGCACCAGGAATCCTGGGATGTCCTGGCAGTGGCCAATACTTCTGACAAAAGGGAAGGTATGATGTGTGGGGAGCCATAAGGACATGCTGCAGAGGTAATGAGGTGAGTTGGGGAAGATAGTGTGGGAAACCTCAGTCGGTTCCTGGAGAGAAACTCTTCATGAAATTAGCCATAATTAACACTTAGCCAATTTCATACAGCCCTATGTAACTGCTTTACGATTAATAAATTGGGGAAAATGAGAAAAGGAGCCCCTGAAAACCAAAATCAAAGCCCAGTAAATCTCAAGAAGAAGTTCAAAACCAGAGTAACCTTCATGTCCTGCAGGGATCTTTCAATTGTGATTTAATAAAGTAAAACAGCAACCGCTTGGTGTTCGATGAGTTAGCTCTCACCCAACTTCAAACTACTGTGATAAACCACAGAAATATGAACTGGTAGTAATTCAAACCCTTTTCTCAAGGAACCATGCTCAGCTACTTTGGACTATGCTGAAAAGAAACTAGACAAGACCATTTTCAAGGGGTTGAGATGGTTGCTGTGTGCAATTGCCAAGGACTACACCAATCTGTGTGCACGATCAATCCATGATAGTACAGCAGCAAAAGCTAAACAACAGGAACAACCAGCAGGAGCACAGTCCATACGCAGGATACAAGGAGAAAGGTATCACTGTTTGTGTAGCCTGCAGCCCCAGTGCTGTAGTTTCCACACCTATGGGTCAGAAAGTTGTTGGTTCAGTGCTTATTCCAAAAGTTTGAGCACGTCATCTAGACTAATATATCAATGTAGTATTGAGGGAATGCTCCGCTGTCAGGGGTGTGGTCCTTTGGGTAAAACATTAAATAGATAGGTTTAAATCACTCTGGAACATTGGCCCAAAAAAAAATTGCCAATGGGTTTTCCCGGTGTCTTGGTCATCTTTTAATCTGTCAAGTGAGACATAAACAGAATTTAAATGATCTGCCTTTGACATAAAAACAGAAGAAGTGACTGCCCATTGTGTGATTTTATCCTGCGGCCGTCGGTTTAATTTTACATTGAAATTTTGCATTAGACCTTAACGTGGTGTAATTCAGGACATCTCTACATGACCTCTAATTCAGGCCACCTTAATATAGCGTTGAATTCAAAACACAGTAACATTGAATTCTAATTCATGACACTTTAGCCAAATATCTAATTCAGGAAACTTGTCAGCATGGGTTATGCTGCTAACTTTGAAGAGCATTCTGCAGAATATCCAACAAGCACTGCCTCTTCTATTTGACAGGAAAAGACAGACCAGAGTTAGATTGGAGAAGCAGAAGCGACAGCATTTGAAAAACTTTGACGTCACACCTCATACAAAGATCAACCCTTTGAACCGTACAAATATTGGCATCAATGCTCAGGTATGAAGATTAAAAAAAAGCTTAACAACCTGTACTGCAAGATGAAGTTTTTCATGTGGCATGTTATTTAATATGTTTATGTACAATTACTTTGTGTTATTTTAATGTAATCATTATCCAGTTTGCACGAATCTAAGCACAGAAACAACCATCTGGTAGTACAGAACAGATATTGCAGAACCCTCAATTTTGTATCCATCAGGTCAAACGCAATCTCAACAATCAGTCACAGCTGAAAATAGTGCTGATTGGCCAAGCTGTGTGATGGGAAAAAAAACTGTGGTGAATTATTTGCTCTCAAGTTTCGAGGTAATTCAAGGGTTGCTTCTCTGAGGAGGAGTTGTGATGCCTGTATTGAAGGAGAGGGGAGCAGTAGCAAGGGAGGAAACCATTAACAATGTGAGCTAACATGCGAGCCAAGGAGAGAGCTCTGGTGAACAGTGGTTCTATGGGAGTAGAGTTGAGAGATTAGGAAATGGCTGTTATAGTCAGCTTGAACTTAGAAAGGACATGTATAGAGATAAAAGAGAACAAGAAAAAGGTGTGATTTTGGATCTAGGGCAAAGAGAACCTTTGATGACATTTGCCTCAAGTGTGTAGAGGAAGAGAGAAAACAGACTTACAACATGGCACAAACATATTTATAGTCTACATTATCACTGAGGCTTCATAGAAGCCTCTTCCTACTCTTCATCCTCTAATGCTATTGTAGTGATTGTAATGACATCAGTCAGTTGGACATTACAGAATGAGATCCTTGATTGAGGCTGTTAATCCGGTCCAATCACAGAGCTCATATTCTATGAGATCCAGTTGGCTGACCTCATTACAATCACTACAGCTATCAGCATCGTTTTGTATTCCTTTCTCCCTCATATATTTGTCTGATTTCTCTGTGAATACATCTATAGTATTACCTTAAACTATTACTTTGAGGTAGAAGATTACAGACTCTGATCACTCTGTGAATAAAAATTTTTCTCTTCCAGAGACTACACTATTTTTATTTTATTCATCTCAATTTTTGGCTTGGAACAGTGAGTTGAAGTTAAGATTTGAACTGTGAACAACAACTTGCTTTGAAAGTGAAGAGAACAACAACAGATTTTTTTTCTCTGCTTGAAACTGGCCTAGAAAGGGAATGGAAGTTAATTACTAATTTAAGGAACATGTAGATGAACCAGCACTGAGCTGTTGCTATGTTGAGGCCTAACAACTGGTTGAATGTTGAATTTGTCAATCAACAAAGATCTGATTGAGTTTTAGCATGTGGCAGTGTGATTTTTGAAGACTCCTGGAGATGGTACTGCTTAGTTTTGCTCTTTCTCTCTTGTTTCCCTTCAGTTATTGATTTATTGAATGTTCTTAGAAAATAATCCCAGTCTTTAACAAATAAATAAGTATTTCTAGAAGTCTGTTGAAACTGTTTGCATTATCCAGTGACTTCAGAATTCAAAAACAAAATCAGAAATTGCTGGAAAAACTCAGCAAGTCTGGCAGCATCTGTGGAGAGAAAACAGAGTTAATGTTTTGGGTCCAGTGAAGCAAGACATACAGTTTTACTTGTCCATAAACCACCTATTGTCCCAAGATTTCATTAAGGCCTGTTATCAATCCTTGGAAACTGTTTATTGAACAGCCGAGAGAAAGACAGGCAGAGAAAGAGAGAGAGAGAGAGAGAAAACTTTACATTTCCCATTCTGAATTAATTAGCAATACTGCTCTGGCTAAGAAACCTTAGGCTGAATTTTACCAAAAATCAGTTAAGAATTAATTCCAGCGTGGAGGGTGTATAGGATGGGCCGAAAGTCTAAAAGGTGATGATGATATTCAACAGCTGCATGAGAAAATAGTTTGTATAGGATGGGAAAGTAGGCTGGGAAATTTAATGACGATACTTGACAAGCTGCGTGACCTTGACTGAGTCCTTTGAACATTCATTTACGAGCTGAAGACAACATGTACACCTTGTTTTTCTGTAGCTGTGATTTCTACATTAGACAACAGTTTTCTCTGCTGTATCTGTTGTTTTCTGTGCTGGCGGTTTGTTACACCGTATATGAGAGATAGAGTTTCATTCCAAGTCGCTGGACTTTGTCTGGAATGGAATTATGAACAGTGCCAGAAACGAACCTAAGCCTCCAGACCAGCCAGCAGTCGAGGGGTCCCCAGTGGGCAGAGGGGCGTGAAACTTGTTGCTTTTTCTCTTTTCTTTTCCATTTATTATTACCACAATAATCATTATTATTACTTAACAAACATTCATTTTTAAGCAAGTTGCTGTTGTCAAGTCTTCTCTTAATTGTATTTAACCAAATCCATAAGACCCACTTGGACAAACATTGTGATCCAAGACAGAGGGTTTTTCTCTCTGTGAAACCCTGGTGAGTAAACTCAGTCAATTCTCTGCTGCTCACCTTCTTATGGATGCAACATGACCCTGTTGCACCACACTCATTCTGTCGTGCATGCATCAGGAGTGGGGCATTCCTTTATTTCCAACGCCAGTGCCATATTCAAAGCCCAACTGTGCACAAGGTTACTCTCTGCCAGCCAGCAACAGCTCTTCCCTGTACACATAGTGGCAGGGAAACAAAAAGGAATAGCTTCTGAAGGAACATAGGAGGCACAGGTTATGCTTCATTGGAACTACAAGCTCACAATTGTAAATCTGTTGTCACTGTACTTTATCACTTGACTAATTGACGGCTGTGGTAACTGCATCTGCAAGAAAGAAGCTAGAGGGACAGCCTATCCTTCACACAAGACCATGTTAGAACCCTTCATGTTGGAAACAAACTGTTCAAACAGTTGAAAGAGTTCACTTGTATATGAACAACAGGAGAAACAAAGAGAAAAAAAAATCAAACAAGTTTCGATTTGCATTTTTGAATGAAGAGGGGCTGCTGGCCTTTCCAGCAACAACAAATTTACAGTCTTGGAATGATGACCTCACCTGACTCACATCTATTTGAAGCAGGTGCCAATGAAGATGTGTCTAGCTTGTTGTGCCCAATGCAAAATCGCTCTATCATGCTGAAGATGCTGCAGTATATTGGGGCTGCAGCTTTATTCCTATTCCTCCTCTACTTCTTTATTTAAGGTTGTTTTCTTTCTAATTAAACCCTCGAATGATCAATTCAGCACATTGTGTAGCCAACCACTCTCAGAATTCAATTGTACACACAGAGAGACATTTTGCAGTGCTGGGGCCAGAACAAATGTGCATTATTCTGTGAAGTTGTAACTTGAAGTTTTCTCCATTTTTATTATAATAGGATGAAGAAAAAATCAAAAACGTATTTGTAACTAGGAAGAGAAAGAAAAAGCTCAGGATTGGTGGAGGCAATCTGACTTTGCCTGGAACCAGGAGGCTGCCTGATGGAAAGGATTCCCCTTCAGATATGGGTAGCAGTGCACTTGTATCTGATAACAGGAGGAATGAGAGAGGTGATGGAAATGTCCCACAGCTAGACAATTCTCAAACAGCAGAGAAGAACACATTGATGCCAGGCTGTGTAATCACAGAACCAACCATAGGTATGACAATAACACTTTCCTGCGCAACTGATAACTCGTAAAAAATACCCTTTACAAAACAGTGCGAGTGTCCTTCTATTATGCAATGGTGCTGGATTTGTTACATTAAGATTTCGTAAAGTTTGATCAAACTAGGAGAAGCTTGACCGAGAGATTTTTTTGCATTGGAAAGGACATAGAAATGGTTTGCTCTCTTGGAAATGTCCAGAAGGGATCACAGATTCGTCAGTTGGAAGTCAGTGGGGAATAACACAATCAGTTAGATAGACTTATGTTTATATAAAATCTGACTGTGCCTCTCAAAACGATTTTGAACAGGATTGTTTGATAGGCAAATAGAAATCAAGGCCATTTTGTACTCAGAAAGATCCAACAAACAGAAGTGAAATGAATAACCAGTTAATCTGTTTTCCAGGTGTTGTTTAAGGGGACAACCCTTTGATACAAATGTAACTCACTGGTCATTTTTTTAAATACAACCATGGGATCTTTAATACTTTGACCCTATGTTCTTTCTACTCACTGCTGACACACTTGAATTTATGGAAGCATTTTATGCAAAGCCTTCAATTCTATATGTTCTAACTTTTTATTTAAAGAACGATTCCATTTTTTTTATCTTTGATCCTCACCAAAGTGGTACTGTGTTTTAATTGCCATCTGAAGGTCAACAGCTTGAACAATGCAGTACTCAGTGGAATTGCTGTGAATGTCAGACTAGATTATGCACTGAAGATCAGACAAAAGTGCTACCCACTGGGGCTGACATATTTCAAATACATTGTCAGGTAGGCATTTGCACGGTGACTCTGTATTCAATCCACAGCAAGGCTGTAAGATTTCCCATTTTTTTATTATGAATCTCCTCAGCAAAGCTGCTGTATGTTAGAGGATGTCCTCATTTGTGTCAATTTCTAATATCAACTAGAATCATTGAATTTTACTGTACAAAAGGAAGCCATTCAGCCCATCATGTCTGTACCAGCTCCTGAAAGAGCCCTCTAAATTCAACATTTTCAAGTACATATCCAACTCTGTTTTGTAACCTCCACCACAAACCCAGGCAGCACAACCCAAGTCCTAACAACTCTCTCAGTAAAGAAGTTTCTCCTCATCTCACTCCTATCTCTCTTGCTGACAATCTTGAAATTGTAATCCTTATTTATAGACATACAAACTAGTGGAAACAAAATATCCTTCATTACCCTGTGAAATTGTTCATAATTTTGAATTCAGTAAGATCACAGGAACCCCAAAATTCCATGAAGCAGACTCAATGGGCTGAATGGCCTAATTCTACTTGTATTTTATTGTCTTATAGTCCCTCTGTTTGAGTATTCCCCTCAAAGTTATACCATTGAACCTGTATTATCTCTCCATGTTTCTTCTACCAAAATGCATTACCTCACATTTTGCTGCATTGAAATTCATTTGTCAGACGTCTGCCCATTTGGCCAACTTTTCAAAGTCTCTCTGAAGTTGCTCAGCGTCTTCCTCACAATTCACTATTCTCCCAAGCTTGGTATGATCTGTAGATTTAGAGATTTTTCCCTCAACATCGATCTCCAAGTTGTTTATATAAATCAGAAAAAACAAGGATCCTTACACTGATCTTTGGAGAACTCCATTTTCAACTTGTCTCCAGTCTAAAAAGTGCCCATCTATAACTACCGTTGGTTTCCTATCTCTTAGCCAACATCTTATCCCATACTGCCAAAGATCTATCAATCCTAAATATTTCTAATTTTCTAACCAACCTGCCATGTAGCTCCATATTGAATGCTTTCTGAAGGTCCAAATATGCAATATCCACAGCTCTACTCTCATCCACTGCCTGTGCCACTTCGTCAAAGAACTCAATTAAATCTGTCAGACATGACCTGCCCTTGACAAAGCCATGTTGACGGTCTAGAATTAACTTACTTTTGTCTACGTGTATATTTATCTTATCCCATATTATAGCCTCTCAGGTTTCCCACTATTGATGTCAAGCTGACAGGGTTGTAGTTTCCTGAGTTATACTTTACCCCTTTCTTAAACAATGACATCACATTTGATATCACCTTATCTAAACAGAATCTCTTTAGTTTCACTTTTATTTTGTTTAGAAATATAATTAACATGTTGTAATGAAACTCACTTCCACTTAAAAACGTTGCTCGACTCTGTCCCCACTTAATCTTGTGCTGAAACTCTCATCCACACTTTTGCTACTTCTGTATTCAACTGTTCCAATGCTTTACTGCCTGACCTCCCCATTTCATCTTTCATAAACTTGACTGAATCCAAAATTGTTCAGCTTATTGTTTACCTGTTATCATGTCTATTATCCATGTGCTCTCTGATCTATATTGGGTCCTGGTCTACAAATGCATTGACTTTAACATGCTTACCTGAGTTCAAAACCCTCCATGATCTTGACCGTCTCTATCTTTATAAAATTGTCCATCCCTGCAACTCTCCAAGAACTCTGCACTTCTCCAAACTCTTGGCCTCTTGTATACCTTGCCCAGCCCTTCACTTCACCATTGGCAGCATATATTAAGATGACAAATTCCTAAGATCAAGAATTCTTACTCTAAAACTGTCTTCAATTTTCTCTAACTCAACAAGATCCTCCTTAACAAAAACACAAGTTGCTGGAAAAGCTCAGCAGATCTGGCAGCATCGGTGAAGAGAAATCAGAGTTAATGTTTCGGGTATGAGTGACCCTTCCTCAGATTCTCCTTAAACCGACCTCTTTGGCCAAGCTTTTAGTCACTTTGTCTAATATCTCATCCTTTGCCTCAGTGCAAATATTTGACTGATTATACATTTTCCAAATGTATTTCCAATATCTAAGGTTTTGCAGTAGATTTGTAGCTCGGGTTGTGGGTGTTGAGGTTGGTTTGTTGTTTCGCAGACGTTTCATTACCATGCTGGGTAACATCCTCAGTGCAGCCTCCAATGAAGCGTCAGTGTGTTTTCCCGCCTGGTTTTTAAACTCTGGAGTCCGTTGAGCTGGATTGCCTCACTTCCGGTTTTCCTTCGTAATGGAGTGTATATGGGGTCGAGTTCTATGTGCTTATTAATATTATTTCCAATATTTTAAAATGTTACTTACAAGTAACAAGTCATTAAAGTGACCAGACAATTGGTCAGATGCACTGGCAGCACTAGAAGCAGGCAACCAGCAGTATATGTCTGATGCACGTTATAGAAATTACTCTCGCTGACATGTAGGGTGCCCTATTCAACAACATCTTTCCAAATTTATTGAAGTCATATATATACCAACCTTCGGTGTTGCAAAACTTTATAAAGAAAAAGGTGTGGTTTTCAAATAAAGATTCCTGTTTGCCATTTGTTCCCTGTTTAAATTACAGTGTAGGATGTGGATCAGCACAATTAATGAGAACTTATGTAGACATTATATGTCTTCATACTTCTCACTTAGTTGCATGAGTTAATTCAATGTTCATTTGAATAAATCCCATAATTTACACAGAGTTCCGCTGGAAATTTGCAACCCATTTGTGCCAAAGGAGATTTGTTTATACAGTCTCCGAATTATGTGCCAGTGTCAAGGTAACATCAGAGAGGCGATGGCGTTATAAACTAAATTAGATTCTAATAGATGATGTGATAACTGTTATGATGCCACCTAACAGGTCTTTGAAATTCTTAGACTTCAGGATTTGTTTCAGTTTAGATTTAAGGTCATGGTCAAATTTCACGATTTTATCTCTTTTTATCTAAAAAAAAATGCTTCAGATGAAAAGAGAAACAAACAGAAGAAACTAAAGAAAAGCAAGAATAAAATCAATTCAGCTGACACCGAAGATAATTTTTCAAGAAATGTGGACTTAACTGCACCTCTGGGTAAGATTGCAGCACATGCTGAGTTTTTTGTAATTTGGTTTAAATGACTGAGGTACAAGCAGGAATCTCCAACAACCTGAATTTATATAATGTAAGGCAAAGGGACATTTAAAAAAAACTGACATCAAGATAGGAGATGTAACTTCAAGGAGTATTTTGAAAGAAGAAAGCAATATAGAGAAGCAGAGGAGTGTAGGGAGGGAATCCCAGAACTTGCAGCTTAGGGTATCTGGATGCACTGACATGAATGGTCGAGCGATTAAAATTGCGAATGCTCAACAGGCTGGAATGAGAGGAGGAAGGTATCTTGGAGGGTTGCGCGTGCTGGAGGAGATAGAAATAGGGAAGGCTGACACCATGGAGAAACTTGAAAACAAACATGGCAATCTTGAAAACAAGGCATTGCTTAACCTTGAACCACTGTAGATCCGAACGTATTTGGTACAAGTTAGGAAACAGGCATCAGAACTTTGGATCACCTAAAGTTATGGAACGTAGATGATGGCTTGCCACCTGGGAGGACTTCAGAATAGTCAAACCTAAAAGCAGCAATGACACAGATAGGAATTTCAGCAGCGGATGAGCTGAAGCAGAGGCAGAGACAGGGATGTAGCTAACGGAAAAAGCTGAAAGATTGTCAGAAAAGGAACTATTCATTGTATACTTGTTTTACAAATAACTGTAAAACCCTCAATATTTTAGATGCTAATTAAATGAAAATACAGAAGGTTTCAGAACAGAGAGTTTAGATAATCTAATTTTCCACCCTTTTTTTAATCCAATTTAGATCTCTACAGAAAAGCACTCCTTGCATTAAAGACCAGACCTCAAGCAAACAACTAAGCAGCTTATTCAATAAAACAGTAAAGAGAAATATCAAAATAATTATTGCAAGATTTTGAGTTACTGGATACTCTTCATCCTGGAGTATATGAACAGTTAATACTTTACTTGAAGCCCATGCTTTCTTGAACTATGTCCATTGTTGGAATTGATTGGGTAGGATGAACAAATTTCAATGAATGCCTTTACTGTTTCTCTGTAAGATTTCAAGAAAATATTGGCAAATCATGCAAATTAGTAATCATTTATCATGGCAAATTTATCAGGTTATAATTGACCAAATGCTGCAGGAGACCTAAAATCCTGGTGGCCACCCATATCAGATTGTAATCCAGAGTCAATCCAGAGCTCTTTTATGCTTAATCAACACATCTTTTCCATTCCATGTCTTTCCTTTTCATCTGTTATATTTTGTATTCTTTGTTTCTTGCTTAATAGTCTTCAAGGGGCAGGCATTGACTTGTTGCTTAATCTTTAATGTTATGAAGAGAGGTAGAATCTTGTGATATAGTGGCTGTATTCCTAGCTCTGAGCCTGAAGGTCTGTGTTCAGATCCCACCTACCCAGGAGGGGTGTTTTAACAAGTTGATTAAAAACTTGATAACAATATCCATTGGTATCTTTGAGTAACCAGTTCTGGACACCATACTTTGGGAACAATATGAAGGCTTCAGCGAGGATGCAGGAAAAATTTATGAGAATGTTTACATGGATCAGGAACTTCAATCACAAGGATAAATTGGAGGAGCTGTGCTTGTTTTCTGGAATGCATCATGTTCCCTCGTAATGAGATTTTAATTTAATACATTTCCATTGGCTTTTTGATTCTTCTTTGTTACAGTGTCTGAACTGTTCAATATTTACTTTAAAGGAGTAGATTGATAGAATTTTTCCAATTGGCTGAAAGTCCAAGAACCAGAGAACACAAAAATTTATGGCTATTGGTAAAAGAACTGAAGGCTGTGTGAGGAAACACTTTATAGAGCAAAGGCAATCTGGAATGTACAGCCTGAGAGAATGATGGATGCAAATTGAGTCATATTTTTCAAAAGGACATTGAATCAAAACATTTCACAGGACTGGGTGGGGGTGTGGGACTAACTGAGCAGCTCTTGAAGAGAGCTGACACAGATCTGATGGCCTGATTGGTCTCCTTCTGCATTTAACCATTCTATGATTCTATTCTATGATAAACAAGGAGATTACAAGCATTCTAAATTCATAGCCAATTATATTGTTAGAAAGAAATTGACTCAAGATGATTTTGTATCATTGAATCTAGCTATCTCTTACACCATGACATTGAATAAAGTGGCTGTTGAAAACACTTAAAATATTTTTCCTTAATCAATCTTAAATTGCATATGAATAACAATTGTAACTACAGCAAGTGTTTCCAAATGGGCTCAAAGAACAGCATCTAATCTTAGATAACAGATTGAATTAAACAGGCTCTGCACATACATTTCAATTGAGACATCGCAAAACAAAATATTTAGAAAACGAAAGAGCAAATTTGCATCCATTAAAGCCAGATTGACACTTAAAGCTACACACAGATCTCGAGTGGGCTTTTCAGCTACAATTTCAGTCACTACAAGAGATTTGGGAATGATAACCAACAGTGTGTCTCTTCAACTACCGCAATCTCCTTTACACCAGGACCTCAGAACATCAGCATTTAAACATGTCCACCCTGATGTTCCAGTCTCCACACAGGCACAGATTGGAGACTGGATTTACCCCCAGATACAAACTAGGGCTCATATTGGATGTCACAACCCAATTACAGGTATTGCCTAGGACTTCTAAACTTCCTATGCCAATTACCCTGCGTCCAACTAACTCAGAATTACAGTCAGAGAGTTCACAGATTTCCAACTAACTTATCTGATAGTTATGCAGGAAATGTTTGACAGATTAAAAAAAAATTCCAATTACAGGATCACTATACAACAGACCCCCACTGACTCCTTCAACTAAACCCTTTCTAGAGCCAATTCCCCCAAAACCCCTGACTGCTTCTGACTTGACTTCACCACCCTACTCACCCAGCCATCAAATTTCCACCCTAACCAGCTGCCACCACACCACCTGAGATAACTAGCATCCTACTCTGCTACCCGACCCCTCCCTAGCCATTTACACTAATAAATAGCTAGTCCTAGTGTAGATTCACCCAAAGTAACACAATATGAAGTTCTGGGACATTACAACTTAATGTACCAAAATACAACCATAAAAAGGAGTGTGGCTTGGCATCTTCTGCGCTGCATCAAGACCTATCCAGTTTATATGATGGAGACTCCAGAAAGCAGCTCACACTGAAAGGCTGGCCTAAAGAGATGTTGGCAGGTGAGTGTGTTTCTTTCCTGTGATTAGTATCAGCTTGAACTGTTCCAATGCCATTCGGGAGATTTATGCAATGAAGTTGCAAACTTACCCACCAGATATGCACAAAACATACCAGAAAATGACAAAGCTTGTTCATTCAATCGTAAGTGTTTCTTTTAAACAGTGTGATAAATGTTAATTGATCCCCAAATAACCTCTTTGGCACTGAAAATTTACTTTAACAAGTGTGAGTCTCATTATTTCAAACTTTAATTGGGTGATGGATACTTCTGGTTTTATTTTAGTTTTTTTTTTATCCTTTAGCAGTCTCTGTTAAATCCATCTTTCTTCTCTTAATTTCGATCTCAGACTATGGTTTTACATTAATTCAACATTTAACTCAGGCTTCCTGGTTTAACAAGGATTTTCAATCTGATCGTTGAAGGGACGTATGTTCGCTTCCCTGTGCAATGGCAACTTAATTCACCAACTGGAAACCTTGATCTGCTCTCCATTCATTCCCAATACCATGGACACACCATGGTTGCAGTGTGTACCATCTACCATATACGCTGGAGCAAAGTTGCAGGGCCTGTTCACATTTTTCAAACACATGACTTCTACCACAGGAGTTGCTGAGGAGCATAGCCATCTGAAAGTCTTCTCAAAATCACTTAACATTATGACTTAGAAATATGTTACAGTTCCTACATGGCTGGGTCAGAATCCTGGAAACCGTCCCCTGCGAGTATACCTACACCACAAAAACTGCAGAGGTTCAGAGAAGCAGTTCACCACTACCTGCACAAGGGCAGTTATGGATAGGTAACAAATACTAGACTTGGTAGCATCATGTCCACATCCGATAAATGAATGTTCAAGAATCTTAAAAGTGCTTTACAGCCAAGGATTTTTTTTTTAAAAGTGTTGTCACTGTTGTAGGGAAATAAGGCAGAAACTTGTCAAACTGAAGTTCTCTAAAAGCACTGAAATAAATGATCATATAATTTTATTTAGTAAAGATAGTTGAGAGATAAAAATTGTCATTGATATTTGGAGGTCTCCCTACCTTTCTTCAAATAGTCCTATGGGATCTTTTTATGAGAGGGTAGATGAGATTTTGACAGTGCACTACACCCCTTGTATCATTTTAACTTATCTGTCTAGAATGTGTTCAAATCTTTAAAGTGATACTTTAATCAACAACATTTTGAATCATAAGTGAAAGGGCCAGTACTGAGCCAAACTACTATAACAAATATTCCATGTAATCATTAAAGGATGATTGTGTCTTTCTGGTCAGACCCTGCAATTAATATTTCTCAATTTTTTTTAACAAAGAGAGCTTGGATAATCACACATGTGAACTTTACTCTCTAAATGCATTTTATGTTCCATTATTTAATATATTCTTTAAAAATTTTGACATTTCAAGGATATGTTATAATTTTTGAGAAATCTTATCACTCTTGTCTTAGTCAAAGATTGCTTATGGTTGTTGTCTCTGTCCTTAAATGAAGAAGACATTTTCCTACGGTAAAGGGAAGGATTGTAAAACCAAATTAAACTTTGCAAGTCATTTCCTTCTCAACAGGAGGAAGAAAATTATGAGGCAAGATCCATTAAAGCAGATCTTTCACGAACAAAGTCAAACTGCTTAATCCTTTATTCGACTTCAGACTGCACTTGCTAATTTTCCCATGTACTTCCTTATATATACACTCACATGACAGACGCGAAGAAAATTAACTGTCAAGTTACAGAAATGCAGAACAAAATGGTCCAAAGAATAAACAAACTGTAAATGTAATGAAATACATTTTCTGTTGCATTTCTCTTGCTTTTGATATGCTTGTTTTCTTTCCAAGTCTTTCATTTTCCTCTCATCCTTATATTTCCATCTTCTACTTTCAGTTTTCACCTATTATTATTGAAGTTTGAAACTCCATAGGAAAATTGAGAGTCTCAGAAATGTCTGAATACTTGAATCATTTTACAGAAACATCTATAACATGTTTCACTATTATAGCTCTGGTTTTCCAGAACTTATGCATATGAATTTAGGCATAGAACACAGATTGCTATGTAAATGCTTTTTGTTTAAGCTAGCAGGAAAGTATGCAATGGTTTCTCCCAGAGGTTGGTATTAAAAATTTGGAATTTGATGTATTACACATAATTTCAATGTTTATAGATGACATGGAAGTTACAAATCTGACAAATATTAAGAAAGACATAAACAGACCGGTGAACCAATTTAATCCAGAGAACTGGAAATTGATTCACTTTGTTAGGAAGAACGAGAAATGGCAATATGATATAATTGGCATAATTTTAAAGAGGGTACAAGAACAGAAAGGCATAAAAGTAGACAATGTTTTGAAGGTGGCAGGAAAAGTTTTCATAAGGAGTGGGTGGGGGCATGAGGTGGCATAAATTATGTTGTATGAGACATGGGAAGTCTGGAGGGGGATTGAAGGGGTGTGAATGGTGAGGGTTGGAGGGCTATTTTTGTTTGCTTGTTTCTTTTGCAAAGTCCTGGAACAACGAGGCCTGCCCTTCCACGTAGCCTGCTGTTGTACTCGACAGCTCCTGGGACTCTCTCCACATTGTTTGCAGGGTCAGTGGCTTGAATCTGATACCATCTGCTCCCCCTGCCTGGAACAAAAATCTGACCATCCGGCACAACTTCTCGTAAGCTCTGGCTCTGTGTTCTCAATTTCAGAACAGAAATCCAAGCCCATGTTGTACAGTTTGTCAAGAATTTACCAATATTCTGTGAACATTTATTTTGGAAATTCTCGGAGGATTTAATTTAAGAATAGTACTTTCTCTGGGACACCAATTATAGAAGTGTCTGAGAGAGGAGTGCTTGGACATGAGCATCTTATGTCTCCTTTGGGCAGGATGGTATGGTGACTTATTTCCCCACTGCAGGTACAGAACATCAATCTTTGTCTGAACCTCTTCCATGAGAATTTCCAAACATCATATTCAGGAAGCTGTGTGTCATCTCCCTCATCCCCTGCACCATTCAGAAACATGGCATTGTGTGTCAGCTGGGACATTTCACACCTTAACCGGAATGTGTGTATAGAGCACATGTACATTACTCCACGAAGATAGCTTTCAAGCAGCAGTTGAGCACTAAACTTGCAGGTGTGTCTTTAACAAGTACACATGATGGCAATTAGCAATTTGTCCTAAAATGGCAGGCCAAAACCAGACTTTTGTGCAGGCATATCTTACTAGCACAGCATTTATTGAGCAACTTTGAAAAAGAAATTTAAACTTCCAGCGAAGAGTGAATGGATGAGGCATTTCACATTTTAAAACATTCTTTTCAAGATACTAAAAGCACAATTGATTATTATTTTTGTAGGCAAATTTTAACTTAAAATACAGAAGAAAACTTTTAGCACAACTGAAATAAAACCACTATTAGGTATATGATACACTGTCCTTTAAATACACACTCAATTCTCTTAGAACCAATCCAAAATGATAATTGGCTCCCAAAGGGTACTTGCAATCTTTCCCCTCTCAAATTGGAAATGTTTAACTCCAGAACAGCCTTTCACAATTCGCATTGAGATTTCTCCCTTTAACCAAACCTAGACAAATCTTCCAACTTCATTTAAGCAGGCCCTTAAATTTGGTCTTTCTAATGTAAAGGCAAGCTCCCACCCATATTTATGCACGGTGACCCTTAGCATTTTGCTACTTAATGTAAACATGTAAACATGTACCTTCTTTCCTTACAAAACAATGTGGGTCCTGTTTAATTGCCAAGAATCAAGCTACCTCACCCTGCTGACAGGCAGACATCAGAACAGGTGACATGGCCCCATCCCTTCGTTTTTATCTCAAATTAAAGGCACAATCCTAAAATATAATAATCTTCTAAACATCATTATCAAACGCTGTGTTCACCAAAGTCTGCTAGACCTTCACAGATTATCCACTTTTTGAACATTTTAAATACCCAACTAACTAGTTTCCGCTGGTTGAGTATGGTTATAAACCACCTATACTCCCATTGTACCTCAAAAATAAGTACTTAGAAATAAGACAGAACTACATATTTTCCTCTAGAAAACTATCCCTTTAAGAATCTACAGGCTGAGCAAAGGTTTTGCAGTAGGTGAACCTTCCAACTTCACATTATTCATATTATAAACTTTTGACTTTACCTGGGTGGAGCAATGTTTAATAATTCTCAAAGCTTATCTCAAATTAGCTTCCGTTATGATCATACGGTGTGGAAACCTCTGTGGACTTCAAACTGTTCTTCAGCAATGTGCAAAGAGATCATTTTCTTATGATTGGAACATTGGTAGAAGTTTATCTTAAAGAGTAGACTTAATACTAAAATTCCAACTATGTTGCTTCTCCGTGTTACCTTTCCAGTCATTTTGATACTGTTGACTAGTACATCTACTGAACAGACTTCAGAAACTCTACTTTCACACCCAGACATCAAGAACACTACAACATCAGGTGAGATCTGTGTGAATGGCAATATTGGTAGATAAGTAATCATCATTAATGTGAAAAGTGTTTATTTTCTTATCGTATGAAGAGCTCTGTTATGTGTACAAGTCTCAAATTGTGAAGTGTATAAAAAATTCTACATTAAGAATAACATACATTCCATGCTACCAACTTACCCCAAAATTGTTTATTGTTGCAGGTGTACCTAACTATATCATTTAAAATGTTAAACAAAAATTGGCAGAAAGGCTCAGCAGGTCTGGCAGCGTCTGTGAAGCGAAATCAAAGTTAAAGTTTCAGGTCCGGTGACCTTTCCTCAAAACTGGCCCAATTCTGAGGAAAGGTCACCAGACCCAAAATGTTAACTCTGATTTCTCTTCACAGACACAGCCAGACCTGCTGAGCTTTTCCAGCAATTTCTGTTTCTGAATCTGATTTACAGCATCCCGCATTCTTTCGGCTTTGATTTAAAATGCTGCCTGACCCGTACAGATAGTATCAGATTCCAATCAGCATACAGTTCATGGGGCTTCCACCTAAGATGGGATGGTGTTTCAAAACTAGCAGAACTAAACTGACAGATGGAGCAGTATACAGAAACATTTGATTTCTAAATGTTATCCTGTCTTGTTTCCACTGGTCAGACAGTGATAAAATTCCACATTTAGACCTCAAAAGAGCTTTCTTGTGGCAGAACTTGAGATTTGAAATTCATTTTGTGGGGATAATTCAGACACAATCCAAATTCTACAATGGCACAGCACACTGTAATTTCATGCGCTATTGCCAATATGCCAAATATTGTTCTGAGATTATAAAGATCAGAGATTGAATTTGCTCGCCTAAGAATAATGGGAATAAAGTTTGATTTCAACTTAAGTATAAAATAGCACAGAACCAATTTACCTGCTCTTGAAGATAATGGAGAGGAAGATTGGGCTGAATGAAGAGTGGGTGGCCAATCTGTTACAATCCAGTTTTGCATACCTACCAAAGTATAATTTTCCCCTTCAGAATTCAAGTTATTAACAGTAGGAGACAGAATATACTTTGGAACATTTTAGGAAACTATATTTTCTCTATTAATATTTTTCTCTGATGACCTTTTCATAACTTCCTTCCAGATAATTGCAAAAATACTCGTGACTATGAGCCATGTTTGAAGAACACTTGTCCAGAGTACATGCCTTGCTATTGTAAGGACGAGAAAGAATACTGCCGGTAAATGTATATCTCTAAATAGATATAAAACTCAGCAGGTCTGACAGCATCTGTGAATAGAGAAACAGAGTTAGCGTTTTGAGTCTGGTATGATTCTTCTTCAGAACAGTTAAATCACATGGACCTGTTTTACCAAGTGTTTCTGTGGAGATACTTTGGACCTTGTCTGAAGTAGGCCATTCAGTCCAACATACCAATGATATCTCTCTTATGAACTATCCAATTAGTAATCCTCCACTACTCTTCCCCATAGCACTGCAAATGTTTGCTTTTCAAGAATATATTCAGAAAACAATATATGACTGCAAAATTCACCAGCTTAAATAACAAAAAAACCTTTACTTTTAGTCAATTAGTATCACTAAAGTCCATTCGGCAAGGAGACAAATAGATTGAATTGAGCCCTGGTTTTAGTTCTGTGACTTGTCTCTTAATAGTTGCTCTGCAACTCCAAGTGCAAGAGGATCATAGAAACCCTGGGGCAAAATGTATATCACAAAATAATACTGTAGTAATTTCAAAAAGAAAGGATCCGTCACTTTCCATCACTTGGAATGTTCTTTTCTGGTTGCACCTCAAACTTGCCATTTTGGTACCTTTACCAAAGAGGGGAAGTAAAAACAGAGAAGATCATTTTAATTTCCCAAAACAGATGGATTGGGGTCAGATGAAACAGACAATAAATTCAACAACCTGAAACACAGTCCAAGTAACTCACAGCCATCTTCAATAGAAGCAGGATTATAATTTTGAAGGATCAACCTACCTGCACCTAGGAGTTAGGTTGGTTCTTAATATATAATATCAAGATGGCACGTCTCAGGTTTAACCTATCTCACAGGTTTAAAAGTGGCCAGCTGAGTTTCTCTGGTATTTGGAAAAATCCAGCATCTCAAGGGAGGCACGGACAGCTTCAGTGAAAGATGAATGTCTGTACATCGCAGGAGAAACAGGAGTGTTTCCCCCAACTCACCAAGCTATCTTCTTCCCCTGCCATTGGAGCACCAGTTATTGGAGTCTCCTTGGACACTACCACCTCTGCCCAGGTCAGACTTGTGGACACTGATCTTACCAGTAAAAAAAGCCACATGAATATGGAGTTAAAAAAAAGTGATCCTGTCAGAAAAATGGACACAGAAATGTGGAGTCAGAAACTCCCTATTTCAAACTTGAAACTCCCAACCTGTCCAAAATCAAATCCAGATTCGCTGTAGAGAGTCTGAGTGCATTTTTCATAGATGGCTTTAATTTTAACAAAAATGAGGAAAACCAAAGGAAATTGTTAATATCGTCTGAGAATACTTCGTTCAACAAGCATCCGAAAAATATAAAATATCTTGCATTAAAGCTCCATGGATCCTGCTAACAATAAGCATTCCTTCAATGAGATTTGATACAAATGCACTGGGCATAATATCTCACAGCCTAATTTCCAGTTGAAAGAAAGCAACAGTAAAAGGGATAGCTAGAAGAAAATTATTCCTTGTCATAAAGTTTTAAAATTGGTCAAACGGTTTATAAACTGATGGTTAAGCAATAAGAACATTACAGGTTTCCCAGATAAAGCAACAAGAGATTTAAACTGGAGCAACAATTAGACTCTATAGATAGAATAAATGCACTGATAGACTCATTTTAAAATGATTCCCTAATTGTCACACTTGAACTGCTACAAGTGTTTATGCATGAATGGAATAAATAATAGTGCTAGCAAAGATATGGGATTATAAAAATTCTTCAACTAACTTTACTGAACTCTGCTTCAAATCACAAGGATATAAATAATACATTGATGTGTAGGTGAATGGCAACATACAGGAATAAAAGAAAGAAAACTCACAAACTGATCTCTTTCAATCAGTTGTGACCTCACTTTATGGATAGTTCACAGAAGCTGAATCCTGCTGATCCACAAGACTGCCATATCTTACTCTAACCTATGAAATTTAATGTTTAATTGTTTAATTGTTTGATTGGTACCCATAAAGCTGAATTCTCTACACAGTCCCCAGATAGGCCCCTTCAATCTTTAACCCACAGATTAACAACTAGCCTCTTTCATTTAGTCTTTTATTCAAATGCGGAAAGATAAATTGGCAATTCCCCTTCCAGCTTTAACTCTCCTGCTTTTCCTCAACTAAGAGATTAAATGTTAACATGTTCCATGAACACTATTCAATACCTAGCCCAGCTGACCTCGTCTAGTCCTCAATTTACGTTAAAACAGATTATCCGACCATTATCACATACTGATTCTGAAACCTTGCTGTGTGTAAATTGGTCATTAGATTTCCAAGATTACAACAGTGTCTAAAACTCAAAATGTGCTTCATTTGATGCTAAGTGCTTTGGGACATCCTTTAGTTGTGAAAAACTATATGAATGCAAGTTCTTTTTTTTGCTAATCTGCAACAAGGCTATATGACTACAGAATATTCAAATATGTTTTCTAGGTGTACAAACTTTAAAGGTCCCTTGGGGGATTACTGGAATTTGGGAACCAAATGTGAACAGCAATGGAATACCCTAGACCTGATTCTCATAGCTGTAATTCCTGGAGTTTGTCTTCTCGTTATTTTTGCTGTCTGTGTGCAATGTGTCTGCAGCTGCAAGAAACTGAACTACATTGAGAAAGCCAATAAAAGGTGAGTCATATATCATTTGTGGTACATGTAGATCAAGTATCATCTTGACTGGGAATGACTCACATAATAAAATTTAATTTGTTTGTAGCATATGACTTAGTTTGAAGCTTCCCTTCTATAGCCCTTTTCTTCTATATGTTCACGATGGAGGAAGTGCAACATGGGTGTACAACAGTTGCTGAAAGTTACAGCAGGTGGCAAAGAAGGCAAATGTGGTCAGCCTGCACAGCAAGAGGATTCGAGCACAGGAGAAGTGGTGTCTTGCTCCAACTGTACAATACCCATACCTGGAGTACTGTAGTTTTGGTCTCCTTATCTGAGAGAGGATATTGTAGCTATGGAGGGTAACGAAGTTTTACCAGACTGATTCCTGAGATGGGAAAGATTGGATCAGTTAGGATGATGTTCACTGGAGTCTAAAAGAATGAGGGGGATCTCATAGAAACCTATAAAATTCCAACAGGACTAGACAGGAAGGATGTTAGGATGTTCCTGAAGACTGGGCAGCCTAGAACCAGGGGTCGCAGTCTAAGGTTTTGGGGGTTAGTCCACTTAGGACTGAGATGAGGAGCAAATGACTTCGCCTAGCATGGTGAACCTGTGGAATTCTCTGCCACAGTAAGCAGTAGAGGCTAAATCATTGAATGTTTTTAAGAAGGTGTTATAGATCTTAGGGCTAAAGGGATCAATGGGTATGGGGAGAAAGCGGGAACAGGGCACTGAATTAGATAATCAGCCATGATCATACTGAATGGCAGAGCAGGCTTGAAGAGCCAATTGGTTTATTCCTGCTCCTATTTTCTATGTTTTTTTAAGTACTGAATTACATCTAAGTCATAAATTACACAAAGTCAGGAACACCAAACACACCAGGAAGTTTGAAACAAAAACAGGAAATCCTTAAAATACTCAACAGGTCTGGCAGCATCTGTGGAGAGTGAAATAAAGTCAATGATTTAATTTAGCCTTTCGTCAGAACTTCTCACTTGAAAGTTCTTTGATATACCTACCCTGGAAAATCAGGGGGCTGAATTATTTATGGTGCCAGATTATCCACAATGATGATGAGCATCCGAAAGAAGAACTCCTGCTGCCTGCAAACATAATATAGTTCCAACAAGCTGTTAATAGTCTGGTGGGGGGACTTTCACCATTTTGGGCCAGGAACCACTGCCTCAGAGAGGTGCCGTCAATCATAGCCAATATCTCTATTGTGCCAGAGGCCTCCTGGAGCAGTGGCTTGAGGAGGGGAGGTATGATGGACCTGGCCCCGCTGGTGAGTCAGGGGTCTTTCCTGGTGCCAGGTTGAGTGGCCCCCAGCATTTGGGTTCAGCCTGAGGTTTGACAGACCATGACAACTGTGGAATCTTAGAGGGGTAATCCCTTGCAAGGGATGGCAGGGCTGCTGTTCCAATTGGCACCCTTCATTTGGTCAGGGAAAAGTGCCAGGCTTGGAACTTGGCATTGGTCCTCTTCCACTACCAGTTCAATCCTGGCAGCAGTGGGTTGATGCTTTTAAGTGGGGATTAAGTGCCACTCAGGACTTCAGTTGGTGCTGACACCGTGCTTACAATTGTGGTAGGAATAGAAATGCGCACACAGGAGACTGTCTGGATTTTATGAATCTTCATGCCATCAAACCAGGGGAAACATAATTGAGCTGAAGACAACTGAAAGTAAAAGTGTGAGGGAAGGGAAAAATCCAGCTTCAACTCATGATTAAAGTGGAACACTTCTGAGGTACACTGACTCCTCATCATCGTATAGGGCCAGCTGGGGAGGAGTCAGTGCACAGGCTCAACATCCTGCTGAAGCCCTCTACATCATGAAGAATACTTGATCCCCAAGTCACCAGCAGCTCTGGTGAGAAGATCTGAAAACAGGCATCAAAAGTGGGAACAGATCAAACTGACTTTTTGAATGACTGCACTCCAAAGTAATCTCTTAGCTGCAAAACATTTGGAGAATATTTAACTTGGAATTTTCTAACCAAAATATGACACAAACTTTTATATAATAAAATTGTTGACTGTGTTCTGCAATGCATGTATTGCTTTAACAATGGTTGTCCATCTCATACCCTGCAAGGCTGAGTATTAGGGATATTGAACAAACATTACAAACACAAATAGCTGAAGAACTTTATTCATGTATATATACTTCATAATTTTACAAATGCAATTTTAATTGTTTTTCTTGTAGTTTACACAAATTCCAAATTGGGAATTTTAGGCTTGTGTCAGTCAGAAGGATTATCTCATGTGGGGGCATGGATTTTTATTGCTTTGTCAAGGTGGCTTTTTTGGTACAGTGCTAGTATTCTACCTTTAAGCTAGGAGGCCCAGGTTCTAGTTCCGCCTGTAATAATATCACTGAGCAGGTTGGTTAGAAAACAACTTTTTTTGTAGAGACCTCCAAACGGGTCAACAGTCTTACAGCACTATAAACACTGGCACAACAGCTGGCTGTAATTTGAATGGAGTCTACTGCTGTCAATGCACCAATCTGCTTCAGGCAACATCCACCTTTCATTACGGAAATCAGGGTCCTCTAATATTTGTAGAACCTTGATTTCCAACATTGATCTTCACTGGTCAAAGTGTGTCAAGTTTCAAACAGTTCCATGGGCAAAGGTGGGCAGTAATTGACTTTCTGCTCTCCTAAAGAATTCCCACAGCACCTACAGAAATAATGCACCTCTGATTTTTCCAGGATATTAGTGAGTGGTACACAACTTTGAAATAGAAGTCCAAGATTTAGCAATGTAACTGCAGAGATGAGGCTCAAGCTTCTAGTGATCCAAATAAAACCAATGGGATTGCAATCATGTCTTGTAATGACAATTTTTGTTTTAAAAGATTGTCAATGTGAAATATTGAGCAAGTTTGTCAATCAGTAATAAAATTGGAAGCTTTTGATTAAATTCAGATAGCTGGGAGGTGTGTGCAATCTGGTTGTGTTTTGTTCACTAGATTTTGTCCATGTTAATGATCAAATATCATTTTTAATGGAAAATGAATTTTTACTTACAGAAAAGAATTAATTGAAAAGAAAATCACCCGTACGTGTCCCGTGATAATCAGCGATCACCAGAATGCAGGTTTTCTGAATGATGAAGACAACGACGAAGACCTGAGTAGTAAACACCAAAATACGGTAAGGCTTCAATAACAGTACTTCAGGTAAAAGCATATTCCAAATGTGCTTGGAGCCACTTAGAATGAAGCCTCTGGGAGCCATGGACAAAATACGACAAATTTTACATTGAGTTTGATAGTGATTTAGTTAAATTCAAAAGCAGGGTCTTAAATCTACACAAAGCAAATTATGCAGGAAAGCGGGTGAGTTTGCTAAAGTAGATTGAGAAACTACTTGAAAAGACAATGTGGGAGGCAAACTGTAGGTAATGCTTAAAGAATTTAAAAATAATTTGCAGCAAATGTACAAAACATGGATAATAAGGAAATTGAAGTGGGGCCACATCTGAAACATCATGTGCTGTTTGGTCTCCTTGCCTAAGAAAGAACATTTCCTGGAGGGAAATATTATGAAAGTTTACCTGACTGATTGCTGGAATGAGGGGATCCCATAAGGAGAAATATATTAGTCTAGGCCTATATCCCCTAGAGATTAGTAGAATAAGAGATGGTTTAACTGAATCATAAAATATTGTTGAGAGGTTTAACTGACTGGATAAATGTTAAGTAAATGTGTTCTCTAGCCGGGAATCTAGAAGAAAAAGTCACATCTTCAGAATGGGCCATTTAGGACTGGGTTGAGCAGAATTTTTTTTTGTCAAAATGCTTATGAATCTTTGGAATTCTCCATTCCAGAGAGCAGTAGGTCCTCAGTTATTTTGAATTTTATGGATAGGAAGGTTGGCAGGCAGACCTGAAAATGAGGACACTGTAAAATCAAGCAGAATATCAACCTGCCACCAAGGCCACGTCTCTGACCAGTCGGCAATGTTATTGCTGGTGGAGGAAGGTATTGAACAACCACCTCACCTTTTGGGCTTATTGAGAGGGATAGGTGGCCACTTTGTGGTGTTTTAGCCAGGGCTGGGAAGTGAAAGTGTATGGGAGCTATGTGGGTTGGTATTCGGTAAGGTGGGAGGGGGAGGATCTCTTCCTTTGCAGGCCTGCTGAGTCCATCAGAGGCAGCACCCCTCTCCACACTCTCAGCCACCAAAATGGTCATATCCATGTCTTTTACCCTGCCTCCTGGTTTCTAGATTTCAGACCCCACCCCCCAACCCTGCAATCACTTCGTGAAAACCACAAACTTATCTGGGCCTTTCAGGATGGTGGGACCGTTTCTAGCAGCATCAGAGGCCACTGCTCCCTGGCTAGCGGTGCTGGGACTACAGAGTGCCAGCCATCTGACTGACTTGAGCCCCTTCCTGTGAAAGAATGCCTTAAAACAATTAGCACAGCCGCTTGAGAATGCCTGGCCAATCAGAATCTGGTATCTATGCACTGCTCAGCACTGCCAGTCAGGAGGTAGGCTCTTGCTGGTGATGTACCCATCCTCAGCTCAGTGTCAGTGAGGGACCCAGGCCAAGCTACAGCAGGGTGGGGTCACAGGGTAGGGTTCATGGTAGAGTGGAAGCTATGGCAAGACAGCAGCAGGGACAGGAGGATAGCTCTCAGCAGTCTCTCACCTCCATTTTTCCCATTGCCTTGTCCCTCAATCAGCCACTAAATGCCTATGAACAAGGCACAGAGCGTGGTCCCACGCACAATCCTCCTGTTTAAATGGCCCTTAACTCATGTCTGATGGCATTAAATTCCAATCTTCCACAGAGCTGCTCCTGCTCCTTCATCTTATATTGTTAGGAAATGTTGGTACTACTTACAACATGTGAACACAGTGACCACCATATGACTAGTTGAGTTAAGCTGTAGAGACTGGACTGTTCTAAGGAGATTCCTGTTCATTATACTTAGATCACAAAAATCTTAAATTTTTAAAAACTGCAAAGTCAGGGTTATAAAACTCTAAAGCCTGCACTTGCAACATAACACAGCCCAGGTTCCTGGTAAATTACCACTACTATTGTGTGATGAAGTTTCAGGGGACATTTTGCCAAGTTGAAACTATTTGAAAACTCTTTAATGAACAGATTTTGATTTTCATGATTTGAACAGAATGTATTATCTGCCATTTGGTACACTGTTTGATGTTTTTAATGGTACAATTCCCATCATGTACAATGGGAGTGCAATTGTAGAGTAACCTGATAGATGTGATATCAGCCCTTATGGCCCAGTCTTGTCTTGCATCTTCTCCACACATAAACCTCGTTAGTGTTAGATGTCAAAGCTAGGAAGGAGAGGTAATATGGTTCTAAAACAAAGTTGCTAGAAAAACTCAGCAGGTTTGGCAGCATCTGTGAAGGAAAAAAACGGAGTTAACGTTTTGGGTCCGGTGACCCTTCGTCAGAACTGATGGTAGCTGGGAAAACGTCAGTTGAGTTGCAGAAAATAGGGAGGTGGGTGGAGTAGGGATAGGATAGGGCCTAAAGAGAGAGAAAGACAGTTGGACAAAGGAGTTGCTAATGATCAGGCTGGGAGGGTGAATAGTTGTTAATGGGGACTATTAGTGACTAACAACAGGGGTGTGTAAAGGCAAGCTATGTGGTAACAAAACCTGGTGTGTGGGGTAGGGGGCTGGGACATGGGAGAGTTTAGGCCCTAAAATTATTGAACTTGATATTGATTCCAGAGGGCTGCAGGGTCCCCAAGTGGAAAATGAAGTGTTGTTCTTCCAGCTTGCATTGAACTTCATTGGAACACTGCAGCAAGCCAGAGACAGAGATGTTGGCCAGGGAACAGAGTGGTGCGTTAAAGTGGCAGGCTACAGGTAGTTCAGGGTCTTTTTTGCGAGCAGAACGTAGATGTTCTGCGAAGCAATCACCAAGTCTACGCTTCGTTTCCCCAATGTAGAGGAGACCACATAGTGAGCAGCGAATGCAGTAGACTAGATTCTGGGAAGTGCAGGTGAAGTGTTGCTTCACCTGGAAGGTATGTTTGGGCCCTTGGATACTAGGGAGGGAGGAGGTACATGGGCAGGTGTTGCACCTTCGCCAGTTGCAGGAAAAAGTGCCGTAGGGCTGTAGGGGGGTGTTGGGGGTGAAGGAAGTGTGGACCAGGGTGACCCGGAGGGAACGGTCCCTGCTGAAGGTGGACAAGGGAGGGGAGGGGAATATGTGTCTGGTGGTAGCATCTTGCTGGAGGTGGCAGAAATGGCGTCTGATGACCTTCTGGATGTGGATGCTGGTGGGATGGTAGGTGAGCACAAGGTGAACCCTATCGCTGTTGTGGGAGGGAAGAGAGGGGGTGAGGGCGGAAGTGCGGGAGATGGGCCAGACCTGATTGAGGGCCCTGACGACAACGGAGCTGGATAATATGGTTGATGAGTTTTAAGGAAGTAATGTCAGGGAAAACTTTGAAGATGGAAAAAAAGCATTAACAAGATGATTAACAGATAGACTTCCATGGTCTTTGACAATGTTGTTGAAAATTCTGTCACTCTTGACAGCATAGACAGGGCCTGAGAATAGGGGTAGGCGATGCATGGATACCGACACAGCAGACAAAAACTGGAAGAGTGGAGATAAGACAAGGCATAGCTGAAGTGACTGATGAGGTCAGAAAGGGTAAGGCTGTGGAGGGACTTTGATAGAAGGAGGGTTGGCAGAATTAAAGTTTGAATTGAGTAAGGTTCTGTTCAGGCAGCAGAAGTGGAGTTGATAAAGGGTGAAAATAAGGGGATTTCCCTTAAGAGAAACACTTTGGACTCTTATTGGATACATTACTTATCCAAGCAATACACATATCAAAATATCATTGCAGGTTGGACTCTGACATGTATCTGCTGTTGAACAAATAAATATCCAGATGTTGCAACAAGCATACCATAAATGTTACAACTCATATATATTCAAATTATTCATGCACCCACGTACGAATTTCTGAACAAACGTTTCTTGCAAACCAGAGTCCACAGTCTGTGTGTTCAACTGGCAAGGTTGTAACCTATAGCATCTTGTTTTATGTAAAATGTAATATTAATTGTTATATTCCCCTTCGAATACTTTTCTAATGTTCTTGGATGAAGACCAACATCTTGCCATAATACAGCCAAAATAAGAAGCTAACAGAAGATTAGCATTGCTATAATTATTTCTCAAGTTTGCTCTGTTTTTAAAAAGTTAATGAATGATTCGGTATACGTAGTCCAAAGGTGTGAGTGGGCAAGTATACAGATATTAATCATGCTTGGTGAGTAGGATTTATGAGGGAATGGTGTGGCTGGTGATAACGATCAAGAAGATGTCCCTGCTCATACTATTAAAAACAACTCTAGGGGCAAAGGAAGCTTGAAACTTAACACGATTTATGGAGCTGAATCTGGGGTGACAAAGATGACCACACGGAAGCAGAGCCCTAAGACCATAAGACACAGGAGTGGAATTAGGCCAATCAGCTCATAGGGTCTGCTCTGCTGTTCAATCATAGCCAATATGCTTCTCAACCCCATTCTCCTGCCTTCTCCCCATAACCCTTACTAATCATCTATCTATCTCAATGACACTTAATCATTTGACCTCCACAGCCTTCTGCGACAATGAGTTCTGTAGATTAACCACCCATTGGCTGAAGAAATTCCTCTGCATCTCAGTTCTAAAAGGTTGTCCCTTAACTCTGAGGCTGTGCCCTCAGTTCCTAGTCTTCTCCACATCCACCGTAGTAAGTTTCAATGAGATCCTCCACCCCCCATCCTTTTGAACTTGATTGAGTACGGACACAGAGTCTTCACTCATTCCTCATATGACAAACCCTTCTTTCCCGGAATTATTCTTGCGAACTGCCTCTGGACCTCCTCCAAGGCCAGCATACCCTTCCTTAGATACAGGGCCCAAAACTGCTCACAATATTCCAAATATGATATGACCAGAACCTTATAAAAACTCAACGGTACATCTCTGCTGTATTCTAGCCCTCTCGAAATAAATGCTAACATTGCATTGGCCTTCTCCACATGCCAAATGAACCTGAATATTATCCTTAAGAGAATCCTGAAGTAGGACCCCCAAGTCCCTTTGTGTTTCAGATTTCCAAATCCTTCCCCCATTTAGAAAATAGTCTGTGCCTCTGTTTTCTTCCTACAAAGTGCATAACCTCACACTTTCCTACATTGTATTCTATCTGCCACTGTTTTGCCCACTCTCCAAATCCTACTACAAGCTCCCCCCCACAACTTCTGCAACACTACCTATTCCTCCACCTATCTTGGTGAAGGTTCAGTTGGAAGATATAGCAAAAATAGATAATTAAATAATTTTAAACCGTCCATCAGTCTGTAAGAATACTGCAAATCCATTTGGTTCTCTAAGTGCCAATGACATGCACAGTATTTGAAGCCATTTTAAGATTTGCAAGTAGTTCTGTATTTAAATAGGAACCTCCAACTTAAATGTGGACACCGGAAGAAAAATAGCATAGTGATAATTTATGTAATTTTGAACTACTTCGAGATTCGAGCATATGATCGAAGTTGGAGCTATAGTGCAACACTGGAGGAAGTATTGCCTTTTCAGATGTGCCATCTTTTGAATGAGTTAACCTATGACCCTACCTGCTAGTTCAAATAATAGAAATTAAAAGAGCTCTCCTCCTATTCTGGCTAACATTTATTTCCAGACTATTTGGTTATTTAGCTAATTTTCTGTCTTTTGGAATCCTGCTGGACCTTCAAAACAATAGTGACCATTCTATACATTGGCTATTGATTGATGGAAGTCCTAAGGATGAGGTGAACTCCTTTTGCAATTAATTGACTTGGACTGAAAGATCCTGGAGGGCATATCTTAAACACAATGTACAGGATCATAACCCGGAACTGAACCACTTGCCTGTACAAAATTGTTAAAGATATTCTCACTGATGTTCTCCCTCACAGCATTATCCTCCAAAAACAGCATAAGATTTCCACATTTATGCTAACGGTACTCAGCCCCACTTCCTCAGTATCTTTCCTTCAACTATTGCACAGTTGTCAGACAGCTTGTACAGTACTGGAACAGCAGAAATTTCCTCTAGTTTAGTGTTTTGTAAAGTGAAGCTATCATTTTCAGTCCTGGCCACAAACTGTGTCTCAAGCTCACAGGTGCCATTTGTTTGAGACAGAAACATACGGTACTTTCCACAAATGTGGTATCGTACCTGACCCGGTCATGAGTTCCTGTTCACAGATCCATGCTAGCACGAAGACTTATTTTTACCTCTGTAATAGCACCTGACTCTAGTCCTGCACTGACTCATCTGTTGCTGATAACTTCATCCATGGCTTTTTACCAGAAGACTTGGACATTCCTATGCACAGATGGCTAACAGCTTATGTTGCACCCTCTACAAACTCAGGGTTATCTGAAACTCTGCTATCCCTGTGCTTATTAACTTAAATTGGCTTATAAGCCACATATCTATTGAAAAATAATCTTTTCAAGTCCCTCCAAGGCCTCCACTCTCCCTATCTGTGTAATTTCCTCTACTGCCTATTCAGGATACCTATGTTGAGCACATTCCTCTAATGCTCTAACCTTTTGCTCATTCCCAATCTTAATTCTTCCACCACTGGGGGCCATGCCTTCAGCTTGTGATTTTATCTGTTTCCTACCAAGCTGTTTTGATGTCAGCTGTTCCTTATGTTATTCTGAGCATTCATATTAAGTTGTCGCTATTCTATTTGATTTAAAATAAATTTATCTCTGATCAGGGTTTCAACAGCAGACTAGATCTTTCAAGTACTATTTTTGTATTTGTCTGCTATTTTTCCTGATAATGTTTGGCTTACAGACTGGTCCAAAATTTTAACATCTGTAGAGGAAGATAGACAAAACTGCAGGGGTATATTAATGGATTGGTCAGCTTGGCAGAGCAGTGAGAAATGGAATTCAACCTGGAAAAGTGTGGGTTAATGTATTCAGGGTGGCTAACATGGCAAAGAATTACACTTTGAATGGTAGCACTGTGGAAAATACTAGAGATCAGAGGAATCTTGGTGTGCATATCCACAGATCCTTGAAGGTAGTGGGGCAGTTACATAAGGTAGTTAATAAGGCATGAAGGATATTTGCCTTTATTAGCATTGCAGAGACATGGAATACATGAGCAGGGAGTTTATTCTAGATCTGTATAAAATGCTGGCTAGGATACTGCATGCAGTATGCCTGCTAAATTATAGAAAGGATATGATTGAACTAGAGAGGGTGCAGAAGAGTTTTATTAGGATGCTGCCTGGGCAGGGCTGGATTGAACAATGAAGGAAAATTAGAAAGGATGGGGGTTGTTTTCCTTGGAGCAGTGAAGATTGAAAGACACCTGCTAAAGGTGTATAAGATTAAGAGGGAACTAGGTAGGATGGGTATGAAGACACTTTTTTTCATCAAAGCATGTTAATAACGAAGGGCATAGAATTGAGACAAGAGGTAGAAAGCTAAGAGGAGAGTTGGGGTAAAAGCAAATCATCCGAAATGTGGTGGGAGTCTGGAACTCACTACCTGTTAGGGTGGTTGAATAAGAAACTCTTGCATTTGGAGATTTGCTGTTGCCATAGGCTCCAGGACAGTAAGTCATGAGTTTTAAAAGGGGATTAATGTAATCAGATCATACTGGCACAGACATGATGAGCCAAACGGCCTCTATCTGTGTTATAAATGTCTACGACTCTATCAGTAAAAGCTTCTGAGAGCACATAGATGACACAGGTATCTCTTCATTGGAAATAGTAGCGGACATATGTAAATGTTTTGCTACATGACCTCATCATCTGTCTAGTTGACTGTTATTATAACTCCAGCTAAAACAGGCTACCTATCCTTAGGGCAGTACCATGTTAGAGCTGTCTAACAAAGTTCTAGTTTTTCCATAAACCCCCCAACATTATGTGATATAAATGTTCAACATGAATTTATTGCATGGTGAAAAGCCCTCAGATAGTTTAAAATGTGAACTTTTCTTGAACAGGAAAAGGCGAGATAAAAGCAAACCAAAAAAATGTTGCATTTGCTTCTGGGAACAAACACGGACAGCTGGCTTTTTGAACAACAGCAACTTTTCAGTCAATGAATGACCACTTCACCCAACTTACATCAATTGGAAACCAGTACTGATTAACTCCTGTCAGGCTTGTTGCACTGCTCCAACCAGCTGAGAATGATGCTCCTTCCACTCAATGTCCTCAACTTCCTCCTCTGAAGACTGCTATAGCTCTCCAAGCTCTTCACTGTCCATGGCATTCCATCTTTGCCTGCTTCAGTTGTGCAGGGCACAGCAGGCAAGGATTATGTGACGTACTCTGTCCAGACTATACTGCAAGACCCCTCCGAGACCAATCCTAGCATCAGAGTCTCAATTCCAGCAGACCTATAGTCTACTCCATGCTGGCCTGGCTGAAGAATGGATTGCATTAATTCTCTGCTTGCCTCAGTCAGGGGATTGTGTAACACCGTCATCAGCCATGGTTGCAGAGGGTAGCCCTTGTCCTGCAGTAACTAGATTTGTAATACATATGGTTCCTTGAAGTTAAGCAAGAACATGAGAATTCTCAAGGATACAGGGATCAAGGCAGCTCCCAGGGTATCTGGTGCAGACATTTGAAGTGCAGTACTGATGATCACAGGTGACCCACACATTGATGGAATGGAACCCTTTTCTGTTGAAGTCAGTGAAATGGCACTCCAACCTTAACTACTATCGAAACATTACATTATCCCCCACGGAGAGCAGGGTTTCAAAAAGTCAGTTCACCACCACCTCTCAAAGGCAATTAAGAATGAACGTTAAATGTGGCCGGTGATTCACATATCCCATGAACAAACAAACAAAATCTGAAAACTTGCAGCAGTGATTACCGTGACTGGGCCTTCACATCCCCAATTACAAATGGAGTGAGAAGCTGTTGAGTGAGAAGCTGTTGAGTGAGAAGCTGTCAAGTGAGGAAAATGACACAGTTAGAAACCCAAAATAAGACACATTCCTAAGTTCCTTTCTGTTTCCATCCAATAGATCTTCAGATTTATGGTGAGAGGAGGCAGGCACTTAAGACCACATTTGTAATTTGAATGGTTTTGGCTTAATAAAATTGGTTCACAGACATTTTTGTAACATTTGAGATGCTGTTATGAAGGGGACTGGGTTATAAAGGTCACTGCTTGCAAGGTTACTGCTTCCACACTGAGACTGGTAGATATTGAAACACTACACTAGAAGCAAGAATGAAACGGCTAACCCTAAGATGTCTTTATTTTCCACAACACTATTGAAGAGACCTTGACTGTTTAATTTATTAGTCCTTTAGCTTGATTATTACTGTGTTAAGATGCATTTGTCCAAAATTTGTTAAATGTGACAAACTCAAAATATTCAATTTTTTGTTTTGTCACAAGATTTATCCTCTAAGAATTCCAAAGGTGAATACACCTTACCTGGACTGGAAAGAACAAAGCCATGATTACCAAATGATGTATATTCCTAAAGAGAATATCAGGTTTGGATTTTTTTGTCTTGTTTCTCTTTTAAAATGCAAAATTAGAAAAACAGTCATAACTAGGAGTCTCATTATCAGCTCCTTAATGTTACAGGTGCGTTGATATTAGAGCAGGAAATTACTACAAGTACATACCCATTCTAGCACACAGATAGGAGACTTCATTTTGAAACATAACCAAGAATTTGTTTCAATTAAATCTCTCCAGTGTTGGAATCAAATTCCATTGTCAAAATAGGACTAGGAGGTCCTCAAATGTTCTGTGTTTTTGCAGTAATGAAAGCCTCATCATATATCCTCACTTTCCCAATCACTAATATGTTTTCACTGTCATTCACAGTTTTTTTTTATTAGTTGCCTCTTTAATGCAGTTTATGTATTTTAGGTAAAATGCAAATTTTAAGGTAGATGGTAAAAATTCACTGATCCTGAAATATTTAACGTAAGGAAGTCTTGCATTAGGAAACTATGGTTTATCTCTGTTGAATAAAGAGAATGAATAAGTTATGCAGGAATGGATAACTTAATTTAGTGCAGGGACTACATGATGCAGGATTTGATCTCTAAAAGCTTGCCATACCTAGTATTCCATGTGATCTCAGTCCTGAGGATAATTACCCTCTACTGGTGAATGTCAGCATGCCACATAAAACAAAATTGAGACTACACTATATAATTCTTCACCATTCTCGACATAGCAACAGGAGTGGGTCATTCAGTCTACCGAGCCTGCTCTGCCATTCAATGCAATCATGGCTAACCAAACATTATAATGTCTTTTACCCATACTATTTCCATATCCCTTTATGTCAACAATAATTGAAGATTTATTAACCTTTAATAAAAACCGAAAGAACTGCGGATGCTGTAAATCAGGAACAAAAACTAAGTTAAGACATAACAAGGCGCAGAGCTGGATGAACACAGCAAGTCAAGCAGCATCAGCAGAGCAGGATAGCTGACATTTTGGGCCTAGACCCTTCTTCGTACGGGCTGGGACATGGATAGCCCCCTACCCCACATACCAGGCCTTGTTATCATGTAGCCTGCCATTGCACACCCCCTCTTGTTAGTAACTAACAGTCCCCATTAACAACTTTTCACCCTCACAGCCTGATCTTAGCAATTCCTTTGATTGTCCAACTGTCTTTCTCTCTTTGGGCCCTATCCTATCGTTTACTCCCTACCCCACCCACCTCCCTATTTTCTGCATATGAAATGACATTTTCCCAGCCACCATCAGTTCTGAGGAAGGGTCATTGGACCTGAAGCGTTAACTCTGTTTTTACCTTCACAGATGATGCCAAACCTGCTGGGCTTTTCCAGCAACTTTGTTTTTGTTCCATTTATTAATCTTTGCTTTAAATATACTCAAAAGATCAAGCTTTCATAGCTCTGTGGTGTACAGAATTCCAAAGATTCACCCTCTCTAAGTGAAACAATTTCTCCTCATCTCAGTCCTAAACGTCATTCAACTTATTTTTTAAATTGTGCCCCCTGCTGCTACATTCCCCATTCAGAAAAACATTTACCTGCATATACCCTGTCTACCTCTTTAGGTATTTTGTAGGTTTCAATGAAATTACCTTCTATTCTTTGAAACTCCAGAGATTACAGGCCCAGTTTGGACAATGTCTCTTCATAGGATAGTCCCACCATCCCAGGAACATGACATATTAAGCCTTAATCCCCTGCTTCCTCCATCCTCTCTTCCATCAAATGCGAGCTGCTCACAGACTTTCTGATTGAGTCTACTATCATTTACCTTCAGATCATCTGCAGAGGGTGTCTATTTTATACCATAACTGACAGAAAGCTATTCAATCTTGCTCGCCTGAGATTCCACCATGCGCCACCCTCATCAAAGAGTTGCTTTATCCTGACAATGCCTCACCAGCATTCCATACTGAGAAGGACCCACAAAGGTTAATGACAGGCTCTCTGGCAACTATAAAAGATTTGGTTTGCCCATCTATGTCAGAAAGACAAATTTCATGGTCCAGGATGTTGCCAAACCACTGTCAGTATTGGAGATTGTTGATAACTTCACATATCTGGACTGCACAACCACCAGAAATCTGTCATGTGATGTTGAAGTCAGCATACAAATTGCAAAAACTTTAGGTGCGTGCCCAAACTGAGGAGGACTGTGTGATTCAAGATTGACCTGACTGAGAACGCTAAAAGAGAAGACTACCAAGCGTGCATCCTCGACTCTCACCTTTACAGTGGTGATCAGTTCTGATGAAGGGTCACCAGACCCGAATCGTTAACTCTGATTTTTTCTTCACAGATGATGCCAAACCTGCTGAGCTTTTCCAGCAACTTCTGTTCTTGTTCCTGATTTACAGCATCTGCAGTTCTTTCAGTTTTTCTACTGTGGTGAGATCTGGGCAATGTGTAGCAGGCAGCGGAGAAGGCTGTTTCGATGAAGAGTCATTAGAATTGAAACATTGACATCCCCACAGATACTGTCAGACCTGCTGAGTTTTTCCAGCAATTTCTGTTTTCAGTATAGGAGAAAAGACTGAACAGTTTCCACCCACACTCTCTCAGACATATCCTCAACATCTCTTGGCAGGACTAGGTCACCAAGTCAGAAGTAGGTTGATTACATTGGTGTAGACACATTGTTGAGTGAATTATGCTTGTGTTGGCTTGGCCATGTTCATCAAATGGTTAATGACTGCATACAAAAAGACCCTCTGTTCACTGAACTGACAACTGGGTCACAAACTCTTGGGCATTCGTGCCTCCACTACAAGGACATTGGAACTGACAACTGGCAGACATTTGCTGATGGTTGGGATCCCTTCTTCTGATTGTTTGTACTGGTGCATTGGAAGAGTTGAACAGAAAAGAAAAGCTCAGCTGGTCAAGAAGAGGGCTTGGAGAACACAGAGAATCTTGCACCTTCTCAGTCCATTATCTTCATCTGCAACAAATGCAGCAGAAACTGCTATGCCAGCATTGGGCTCCTAAATCACATGAGATGTTTAACACAGAATTGACCACCCATGCTATAAACCATTGCGTTTTGAGACAGAAGGCTACCACCAAAATTGAGACAATTTAATCTGCTTTCTGTGCGATGTGCCTTTTATCTATTAGCCAATCTGGCCAGTCATCTTTCAATGCTACCTTCCTCTCCAGCACTGAAATCACATCTTAACTATTTTGTTTCCTATCTCTCCTCAAGCATTTATCTAGCTTATTTTGTTCATAAGACCCAACTCATTTTCCCTTGATCCTATTCCCATTAAACTGCTAATTTCCCCAATTTACTAGCTAGATTAGCTAATATTGTAAATGATTGAATTCTTTTCAGGTGTTGTCCCTCTCATGTAAATCTGCCATTTTTCTGCTCTGCACTCAAACTCTTGACTCCATCATGTTTGTAAACCACTAGCCCATCTCCAACCTTCTTTTCCTCTCCAAAGTTTTAGAAAATTGTTGGCTCTCAAATCCATTTACATCTTTCCTGAAACTCCATGTTTAAATTTCTCATATTGAGTTTTATCTCTGCCATACTAACTAAACTTGCCAAAGTGAAAATAACATTCTATGTGACTGTGGTAATGGTAAACTTTATCTTCCCTCTTTCTTAACCTGCCTGTAGCCTTTGACACCATGGACCCTTCCACCTTCTTCCAATACCTCCTAATTGTTGTCAGATGGATCCGTACTCCCCAGGTTTTGTTGTTATCTAGCTTTCTGGTCCTGCACCATTACCTCTGCTGACCCCATGCATGTATTCTTGGCCCTCTCCTATTTCTTATCTACGTTGCCTCTCAGTGACATCACCCAAAGACACAGTGCTAATTTTCATGTGTGCCGACAATATCCAACTTTACTTTGCCACCTTCTCTTTTGACTCTTCCAATGTTACTAAATTATCAAACTGTTTATCCAAGCATCCAATACTTGATGAGCAGGAATATCCTCCAACTATATATCAGGAAGATGGAAGCCATTGTTTTCAGTTCCTCTCCAAACGCTGTTATGGAGCTACCAACTGCACCCTCTCCATGGCAACAATTGTTTTTATTCATTAAAGGGATGAGTGCGTCACTAGCCAGGCAGGATTTATTGCCTATCCCAAATTTCCCAGAGGGTAGTTCAGAGTCAACCACATTTCTGTGGATCTGGAGTCATATGTAGGGCAGACCAGGTAAGGATGGCAGTTGCCTTCCCTAAAGGACATTAGTGAACCAGATGGGTTTTTCCGACAATTGACAATGGATTCATGGTCATCATTAGATTCTTAATTCCAGATATTTTATTGATATTTCCAGACATTTTAATTTGCCAATAAATCATTCTGTTCACAGCCTTGGTGTCACATTTCATGCCAAAGCTTCCAGTCTCATATTCATGCTATCACCAAGATCACCTATTTCTATCTTTTCATGGCCCATTTGCTGCTGTAACCCCCATTCATAACTATTTCCACTAGACTTATCCATTGTAAAACATTCCTGGATTGTCTCCCATGTTCTATCCTTCAGAAACTTGAGTCATGCAAATCCCTGCTGCCCATATTGTAACACAGAGCAAATCCCATGTCCTTTTCACGCTTACGCTCACTGACCTACATTTTCTTGTTTTTATAGTTATTATCTTTATTTTCAAAGCCTTCATTGCCTCATTCCTCCCTATCTCTGTAATATCTCCAGCTCGTCAGCCCTCTGAGCCCTATATCTAATTCAACATTTTCTGCATCCTTATTTTAGCTGCCTCCCACCACTGTCCATGCCCATAATAGTCTGGGTCCCAAGCCTCTGACTCTCTAAGTTGTATTTCTCCTTTATGACATTGCTGAAAACTCATCTCTTTGACCAATTTTTGGTCATTTGGCGTAACACAATTACGTGGCTCGGTATGTCATCTTTTGTCTTTTATAATGTTCTGGCATAACAGCTTGGAGTGTTTCATTATGTTAAAGCTGAAATTGAAATTATTTTTGTATGTGGATATAAATTCATTAAAAGCCTCTTAAAGGAATAGTAAACTGTATTGAAAAATGTGTTCCAAAAAATTTTATCATGTATTAATATGCAAATACTTCATCGTTGAATCAAATCTCATAAACAAATGGGAAAAAATGACATTTTTAAAATATTTAATGATGTTCCTTTCCTCATCAGTTACCATCAGCCTGAAACGAATATAGGCAGAATGAATTTTTCATCTCTTATGAGCCATGCAAATTCTTCACACCATGAACGTCAACATGCCATTTCCCAATACAGTCCATTTAATGAATTTCCTGGGCAGGCCTATGAGATAACTCCAGCAGTAGCCATTAATAGGCCTGAGGTAAGTCCAAGAAATCAATTCCTGTAACAATATTTTATACCTAAACTGTTTTTAGCCAATGTTCGTGGAATCCTTTGCATCCTCATTGAGCAACGCTAGTATAAATAATTAATAATTAATTGTACTTTATATAAATGGTGCATCTTCTGGGTGCAAAGCAAATACCCTGACAAAAATAGAATTCCTTTGTATTAGCTCTGTTACCTACAACTTTAAACGAAAGTATTTAGGTGCTAAAAAATATGAGTAAACTGTTGAAAGAAATCACAAATTATAACAATTCAGTTAAGGTACCAAATGGTAGGCCATATTCTAAAATGTTGTTGAGTATGCATTTCATGAAACTTTTCAATACACTTAAATCCACTGTGCTATTTCTGCAGGAGCAGTAAATAATAAGCTTAAATCTAAAGGTTGTATTATTCAAGAAAGATATGTCATGCTTTTGCTTTCCAGGTAAAGGGGCTTCAAGTTTTGGCCCCTGAAGGACCCAGACCAAGTTTCCAAAGGGGACAATTATTTGAGGATCTACGTTATCAGCAATCTCACAACCCTGTCGTATATGGAAGGCCTCAATATTAAGCAGCAAAGATACAATGAATGAAATAATCTAATCTCTTTTAAGCATGGAAAGTGAACATTAGCTCTGTTAGCAAATTAATTGCTTAGCAAATCAATTCAACTAAAAAAAATCCATAAATGATCAATTAATAAATATTACAGTTGTAAAATGAAATGCAATGCTGGAGATCTTGGACCTGACCTCTCCAACAAAGTCAATAGCGATGAATGTTTTCACACTGTAGGGAGTCTAAGTCTAAGAATTAAGATTTTTTGCATGTTCTGCTTTTGAAAATTTGTGCTCGAATCATGCTTTTATATTACAAGGGAGTGTGCACAAGAATGTAACTCTTTCTTATTTCATGTATAGAAGCCTCGATTTTAAATCCTAAAGGATATTTGTTGAACTGGGGTTGAAGTAGAAGGATAATATCCACTCCACCACAGCATGAGGTCCATTGTAGTTAGGCATGTGATAGCAGGGTGTGGCAAGTTAGCAGGCCTTTCCAGTTGAGGGAAGCAAGCTTAGGGCAGTAAAGACCCAAGGTTTCCCGGTGGAGATCAGAAAGACACATGTTCTTCATGTACGATAGGGTAACAAAAAAAATTTACAATTACGTGAATGGAAAGGAAAGCAGGCTTGGTGTATTACATCTAACCAATTTTCTATCACCAGTTTCCTGCTTTCTCGTCAAAGTTAAAATGTACTCTTGCTAATATCATTTACAGCCTTCAGGAATGTGGGATTAGTGGTAGTTGCATAACTAGTATTATTAATAAGCATTTGCATAGTTCATGTTTTATTTACTAATTTTTTTTCTGTTTTGGCTAATTCTATTCATCTCTGTCTGAAGCTGTCTTTTCATGATATTGTTACTTTATCAAGAATGTTTTAACCAACAAAGTCATAATGTTTAATTTTTAAAAATTCATTCACAAGACAAGGGCATCACTGGCTGGGCATTTATTGCCTATCCCAGAGGGCAGTTAAAAATCAACCACATTTTTGTGGGTCTGGGGTCACTTGTAGTCTAGACCAGGTAAGGATGGCAGTTTCCTTTCCTAAAGGACATCAGTGAACCAGATCAATTTTTTTCTGAAATTGGCAATGGTTTCATGGTTATTATTAGACTCTTAATTCCAGACTTTTATTGATTTCAAATTCCACCGTCTGCCATGGCAGAATTCGAAGCCATGTCCCCAGAACATTACCTGAGTCTCTGGATTAACAGTCCGGCAATAATACCACTAGGCTTTGGCTCCCCTAATTGTGATAAATAAATACTTTTTAAGATATTATGTATTAGTTTTGTCATTTGCTTGAGCTGAAAAGTAGTGATTATAAGCTATCCATGGAGAAGCATACTATTATTTGGTATAAATGACATGATCATAAATAAATTGTTCACTATCTGAATGTAATGTTATATTTAATTGTGAACTGTAAGTATTAAAGTAATATTTTCAAACATGTATATCGCATTAATATTTTTCAATCAAATTTTCTTCCTCCTGTCTGAAAGTAGTGATTATTGCTGGTTTTATGGTTCCACTAGCATTTGGTGCTACTTCTATTTTTTTCAGACATATGTGTTAATTTGCATTTGTAATAACATTCTATTTTGTGAGCCGGAATTTTGTGGGTTCACCATGTGCCCTTGATTTGAACGCATAATCCAGGATGATACTTCGGTATAACACTATGAGGGTGCTGGATTATTAGCTGTACTGTCTTTCAGATGTTGTTAAACCAAGACCCATTCGGGGCAATGTTTGAAGAATTGATCTTGCCATAGTTCTTAACTTATGCTGTCAAATATAGGTTGATTGATTGTTTATTTCACTGTTTCTGGAATTCTGGTGTGGGAAAATTGGCAATTGTGTTCAGCTGCAAAATAATAGTAAGTGCATTTCAAAAGTAATTCCTTTGATGCAAACTGCTCTATGATATACAAAGAGCTTTTCTTATAACAATCATTTGAGGAATGTAGCTGGCAAGGGTAGCATTTATTGTCCATCACTAGTTGCTCTTCAGATGTCGTGGTGAACAGTCTATAGCTTGTAGCTACACACAGTGCTGCTTAGGAAGGACATGGGGCGAGATGTTATAATAATAATGTTAATACTTGCAAATAGGCCTCTCGCAGCTCAGGAGAAAGAATTTCCTCTTACTATTCAACACTTGGTTGGAAAATGGGACATCTTGCACTCATATTGGGAACTGCTTGACTACCAATCTAATGTGATTCTCCAACCTTCTCACCATTGCGCACTTGGTTCAGTAGCTGGAAAGATTCTACACCAAGTCTCTGTAATATCAATAATATCATAGTCATTTATTTATATATGTGCTATCAATTTACCATCTTTTTACACATGCTATGTACGTTTAGATAAAGAGCCTTTTAATTCTATCTTTTTAACATTGTTTCTTCTCTGGACTTATTTACTAGTGCATCCTCATTTATGTTCTTTGCCCTGCTCACAGACTGGTTCTATTGTTTTGTCCTTTCTCTTTAATTTTCCTAACATCCCTTCACATGCATCTTCATCAGTATGTCCCACATGACACCCAACCCCTCCCTCCACACCACACACCAACTTATTAGTTTAAAGTCCTCTCTCCAGCCCCGTGGTATGCTATTCAGTAGTACACTGGTCCCAGCAAAGTTCAGGTGAAAATCATCCCAGTGGTGCAGTTCCCTCTTTCCCTCATGCTGGTATCCATGCCCTATGGATTGAAAAATATTCATCCCTCACCAATCTGCTTTTGTCATTAGCTGACCATAGATCCTCAGCAAAACCTCTTTCGTAGTCCTACCTTATGTCATTCATACCAATGTTGATCTTGCCAACTGGATCCTCTCCCTCCCATTCCAAATTCCTCTCGAGTCCTGGAACTAGGCAGGCAACATAGCCTCTCGATATCTTGCTTCTTGCCGTAGCCTAATCCTCTAACCTCGCGGATTTCTACTGCAACAACATTCTTTTTGTCTCTCCCCGCTTGAATGTCCCACTGCACCATGGCACTGTGGCCAGTTTGCTCATTCTGGCTGACCTCCTCTATGCAAGGTGTAAAAACATTATGAGATAACAAGGTGTAGAACTGGACGAACACAGCAGGCCAAGCAGCATCAGAGGAGCAGGAAAGCTGACGTTTCAGTCGAGACCCCTCTTCAGAAGAAGGGTCTAGAACCGAAACGTCAGCTTTCCTGCTCCTCTAATGCTGCTTGGCCTGCTGTGTTCATCTAGCTCTACACCTTGTTATCTCAGATTCTCCAGCATCGGCAGTTCCCACTATTTCTGTAAACACATTAAACCTGTTAGACTAACTGAGGCAGGGGTGGGAGTAAGATTCCCCTTGCTATCTTTTGGATCCTCATGCCTGCCTTATTTACATGCTCCTATACCTGACCAACAGCCAAAACTTTATTACAAAACCTAATGGATATGACTCCCTCTTGGAACAAAGTGTCCAAGTAACTTTCCCTGTCCCTGATGTATCGTAGTGTTCTAAAGTTCAGACTCTCGATCATCAACTTGGACCCAAGGTTCCCATGAGCTGCAGACACTCTACAGTCAGCTATAGAACTGATTGCTGTAGATCATACCAGTGTTCACCAGTTCCCACATGCTACAGCTGCAGTACATCACCTCTCTTGCTATCTATATTTTGCTTTTGTTTAGCTAAGTATATTTAAAGTTTAGAATATTGTTCAAAGATTATCCATTATTATGTAATTTAACCTGTTACGCTATAAGTTTAGGATAATACTTATATCTTTCCCGTATCGACAAGATATCCTACTCCAGAATACAAGATTAAAAAAAACATAAAACTCAACAATCTTAATCCATGCCTCCAGACTTGAGCTCTTAGGTTTCACTATTCCTGGCTCCCTCTGATGGAATATCCTTTTTGTAAAAAACAGAACATCATATATTCCCTCGCTAAATCAAAGTCATTCACTTACCAAATTTCTGGATTTAAGTACTCAGCCTCACTGTTTTCAGTCTCCATGGTGACCTTCATGAAACTCTAACTTCATCCTTTTGTTATCTCAACCTGAGATGTTCTCCATGCAAGAGACATTCTATATCTAGTCTTCAAAGCTAACATGCAGGAAGTTCATTATCCATAACTGTCTTTTTGGATTTACTTACTCCCAAAGCCCTGTTAACAAGCTGTTTGTAACAGTCATTCAGTTCAGTTCTAATTTCTTGTCAAATTGAACCATTGAGTTATCATTTAAGGATCTTCTATTCCATTTCAGCACTCTTAGGTGTGTAAGTATTTCAGCAAGCATCTTAATTACGAAAAGTTAAATGAAGAGCACAACACAGTTTTGTGATATGGTTACTTAGTTTAAGTATCTCCTATAATTGCTCAGGCCTTGTCCATCCCTTGGACCCCTGTTCAGCCTGGGTACTACAGTCAACTCCTAAAAGTAATCACCCTACTGATTTGCTACTGGAGAAATAAATCCTTAAACGTTTTCCTGGGATATTACATTTACAGCATTAAATATCTTTCAAACACATGTAAAATACTTAACAGTCTCACTGATGATGGGCAATCAAATTTATTTCTCTGTAAAATATAACATATTGGCATTTCCTACTGTCTTCCTTATGTGACTTGATCAAAATATCTTTCCTGAAAACCTATGCATCAGATACAATACAGATAAAATTACCTATTCCATTGAAGTGTTTTGCACTATATCCACAATTTTAATTTGAAACAAGTAACTAAGTATTTCTTTAATTAATGGTTACATTGTGTTAGAGATGTAATGATTATTCATTTAAATGAAGGACTAATTACCCATGTTATTTAAATTCGAAGGTATTTTGGTTTGTAAGTTACTGGAAGTGTGAGATGAAAATGGCACAGTGCCCTCTCCTGGGCATCTGAGATTTGAGTGAACATGGCAAGCAAACTGTCCATCCTTAACCAATCAGATTGTAAAATTTAAAATGGACAGCAAAGGACTATACAAGGATATGTACATTGAAATGTCAAAACAATGTTAAATGAGCATAGAATAGAAAGCACAGAAAAAGGCCCTTCATCCCATCAGGTCTACACTGGTCAAACACAACTAACTAACTATTCTAATCCCAATTTCCAATACTTGCCCGTTGCTTTGTATACCTTGGCATCGCAAGTGCAAGTTCAGATCCCTGTTTACTTCCTAGCTAAAATTCCAATCTATACTATTCCTTCAGATTCTTGTTTCCTGATGGGATCTATAACTGCCAGATGTAACAAGCTTCTAGCTTACACTTGCTTCTGTGTATGTCTTATCAGGTTCTAACTGAAGGGCTTTGTCATTAAATGATCTTTCATCCCTTGTTGAACTTCGCTAGAGTTTGTCTGCAGTATATTTGACTTTTCAGCTGCTGCAGTGACCAACTCTTTGTATGAGATAGCAAGAACTGCCGATGCTGGAGTCAGAGACAACACAGCGTGGAGCTGGAGGAACACATCAGACCAGGCAGTATCAGAGGAGCAGGAAAGTTAATGTTTCGGGTCGGGGCCCTTTTTCAGAAATGGGGAATCTTTGTATGAGTAGTTTTTAAAGTCTTTGAAATTGAAAATGCTAAGTAACTGCTCTTGGGTCCACAACCATTGGATTACAACCATTGTCACCGAGCAATATTAAGCCACACTGCTTACCATTGCAACCATGAAGCGATGCCAACCCACTACCAGCTTGTGGTTGGGTCAGTTTGCTGCCACCATCCCCTTTCCTTGACTGGGTTGATGGGCCTATTGACTTTACAGTAGTAGAGGAAAACCATTAATGAGTGTTAACAAGAAAAGACTCTTTAACACACCACCTACTAGCCCATGTCAGTTACTAGGGCGACATGGTGGCTCAGTGGTTAGAAATGCTGCCTCACAGTGCCAGGGACCCAGGTTCAATTCCACCCTTGGGTATCTGTCTGTGTGGAGTTTGCACATTCTCCCT